TATTTATAAGGCATTTTTTTTATATTGTATTGGTTATTTCTAAAGTTAACTAACTTACCTCAGGATCCTTAGGAAACGAGTGTAATACTGCCTCCTTACTTGTATTTCTACAATTAACAACAGCACATTTAAACACCATTGTAAAAAAGTCAAACTAACAAAATCGCACAAAAGGAAAACTTGTTTGTCTAGAACAAAGCTGGAACAAAACCTTCGGTCATCTATGAACAAAACAATAATGGGGTCTCTAAAGTTTAAACGACAAATTGACAAATTGTCAAATTGACAAAGATGCCATCTAAAAAAGCGTGTTATTTAAATTCTGCTGCTTCAGCGCTATAGTCGATCCTATCCGCAACTAATTTTAAGGTCTGAAAAGGAAGGGGGGAGTGAGCATAGCATGGTCAAGACGCAACTGTAATATTTCCATTTTACAATCTAATTAAAAAAATATTAAAAGATTTGAAAATAAATTATCTTAAAATAACGTTAGGCGTCAAAAACAGATGTGTAGTGACGGATGAGTAAAAATTATTTTCATACAAGGAGCCCAAACTTCATGTAAACAAGGATCTTCCTAAGATAAGAGGGCGCTGGTGTACTACCGGCCCAAAACAGTAGAGTGGTATATCCAGAGATGGCGCCACTACCTACCACTTATTATTGTGGAAATAATTGAGGTTATGCAACTGTCAGTTTATCGCTTTCTGAAAACAATGTACCCATGTACCTGGTTTTGTGTATAAAGGTCTTAATTTACAATAAATTTATATCAAATTTAAAATTGGAATTCATGTTGGACTTTCTGATGTAGAGTATAGTACAGTTTTTTATAAATACGTGTTTTTTTCTATAAAAGAATGTCGTGTGATGCTAAATCGTGTAAAACTAACAGAATATTAAATCCATATGGTATTTATTTTTAGTTTTATAGGTAGATGACTTAAATAAAAGTTCAATATAAACAAATAAAGGTGGAAATTATTAAATATGCTGTTTACTCATTTTATACATACTTTTTTATTTAAATTAAATTTAAATTATTAAATAGCGGTGTATTTCTAACCTGGAAATCTAATTTTGCCTCTCCAGAGTCGTAAAATCACTTCACAGATTATAAAGAATCACTTATATTTCACAACCAAAACCTATTTATTTTGCGTCTCCCGAGTCGTAAAATCACTTCACAGATTATAAAGAATCACTTATATTTCACAACCAAAACCTATTTATTAGAATCTACCTACCAGGTACAGCCATAAATAACAAAACGATTCGTACGTCAAAACATTATTGCAAATCAATTGTCAAAATTACTTGCTTACTTCACATGTATTTTTGATACTATTTTCACGTCATACGGACGCATTGACAAACAGCGCCGCTGGTGTTAAAAAAAAAGACTTAATTTGTGCAATTTAGTGGACAGGTTTTGTCAATTTTCCCTATTAAGTTCGGGCTCCTTCCCTGCTTAAAATACCCCATAGAGACCTATACAAAATATTCTATAGGGCGCTACCGGTTTCAATATGTGCATTTGTCCAAGGTTTTTTCCGGATACAGCCCGATAGAAAATGTATAGGAAATTACCTATAGGCACACCATAACTTTTACATTTTCCCTATTGAGACCGATAGAAAATAACTCAATGAAGGATATATAGGGATATCCCTATAGAACAACCATAAAACATTTGACAAAATTTTATTAAAACCTATGGGGTCCTATAGGGAAAAAACTAATTTCTACATTTATGTGTATTTTCCCCATTGAAACCGATAGCAAATAAATCAATGGTGGATATCCCTATAGAACAACCATAAATCTCAACTATGGGTCCTATACAAACCGATACACCCTATAGAAACACCATACATCCCGATACAAATATCTATCGGTTTGAACAGGGTCTCTATGGGGTATTTTAAGCAGGGTTGTGTAGGCTCCATGGTCAGACGTACGAAGTTGAAACTTGACGGACCGATAAAATGTCATAATTTTCGAATTATAATTGGACCAATAAGAGCGCTCCCGGATGATCGGACTAACGAACAAACGGATACCTACATGAAAATTAAGTTTTATTAACTCATCTAGAAGACTCCCAAATCTTGCTATTAGTCTGACACTAAGACTTTTTCCGACTTAATAAGTCTTATTCTGACTTTTTCCAACTTAATAAGTTTTATCTAGAATTTTTAAGAGAAAGTAAGACTTTAAAAACTCTTATTTTTACTTATTGAAAAAAAATTCCACAAGGAAGGCCACTATAATTATATTTAACACGTTGATGGACACTACTTCGGAAACGTTAGCAAGTGTTGTGACACTATAATATATAATTTGTTCATATGGTATTTATATCTAAAAGCCGACGTCCATCGACCTTTTGTCAAATATTTTTATAATTTGAATGTCGTCTATAGACGTTGTGTCACATAATGTGACTCATATCACATCGATTAGATCATCAAAATTAGAGGTCTAAAGACGTTCTGTCCATCTATAGACGTTGTGTCACATCACATCAATAAAAAATAGAGGTCTATAGACATTATGCTCGTTAACGTGTTAAAATTGGTAATAAACTGACAGATGTCAGTTCAAAAAGACAAACTACTTGCTGCGCGTTTACGAGGCTGTACTCATGAATGCAACCTTTCGGGTATAGGCACGCATTCAGGCGCATTAACCTTAAAGCTATAGAACTGTCAAGACGTAAATCTCATTTTTATCGTGAAAAATTGTGTTTTCGGTATCTTCTGTGACCTCATTTACACTGATTACAGTAAGTGCAGCGTGTAGTTTAAAATTATATAATTAAATTATTTTAAAATTTCGAAGCACCACGTTCCTTAGACTCTAGGGCCTAGAGGAAGACTTCAAAACAGAAATTAAGGAGGTGATGGGAGTAACAAAGCAGCGACACCGTTCTTTGTTAAAAAATAAAGCACAGGACAAACAAGAATTAACCAAAGGGCAACTTCAAAAATTGCAAGCATTGAAAGCAGAAATTGAAGAATTTAAGACGAACGCAACTTCAGATAAATTATCTGATTTGGAGTAGTGTGATTTGGAGTAGTGTTTTATCGATTGTTTTTCAAATCCAAATTTCTCCAAAAAAAGATCTCTAATATAAAATAAAATACATTTTTGACAAGGCAACAAAACATTCTACATCACTTATTGAAAACTGTCTTTTATAAGTTTTTAAATTGCACGGGAAAATAATTATTTTAGAAGCTTAAGCTTCTGATATTGGCATGCGCTGCTGGAATTTTTTTTCTAAAAAGCACATGTATACATGTAGCGCGTACATCAGTTAGGCAAAATGCGCACATGTCTGTTTAAAAACCTTACACGTCATTGTAATTTACTTTTGGTAACAAATCAAATGTCATTTGAATGTAAGTGTCCACGTATACTGTTTGTTGCGACGGTTATTATATATTTGCCCGCCGCGGTAATTTTTAAATTTAATTAATAAAATTAACTTATTATTTTTATTAAACAACATTTTATGAAAGGGCCCAATCGACCTCCGCGACGGTGCTTTTTTTTAAATATTATTTAGTTGCTGCTGAGGACCAGTAGACACATCTTAAAATGTATAATGGGTTGCATACAATACTCGTATTAAATCGGCAGTTCTACTTTACTGCCGATTTCTTGTACTTTACTGCCGATTGTTGACTACTTTACTGCCGATTTCGGATAAATATATTTTTCTGTTGGGCAAATAAATGAATTATTGTTATTTAAGTAGATTATGAAATCATCTTGTTTTAGGTAGATTGGTACACGATCTCTCGAAAAGTCCAATAATGATATGTTTATCTCAAAAATTGATAATGCTACGAATTTACAAAGTCAAGCGTTACTACACAAACACCTATGCTGCGCGAACTTTAATTGCCACTCCTGTAAAATTTATTTTTTGGACCTAAGGCTCGTTTTCTCAGAGCGCGTCACGTATAGAAAACTAAAACTACTGATACTAAACAACACATAAATAAATTCCTCTTTGTTCTTTTGTCGACAATTTTAAAACTTATTGTAACGCCTCTGACTGAAATTAGTGTAGGTATACTAATATGAGTGTATCATTTCTACTCCAATGAAGTATATACTCATGAGAAAAAATCGCGCGAAACGTAATATTTTATCGTTATTATGGTTATAAAGGCGGCGAGTCAAGGTGACTACAATGTGGCCTCAAGGTTCAAATCACTTTAAAATGGGAAATCAAAGTGTCTGCAGTATTTTAGCAACTTTCACGCGGTAAAAAATGAACTATATGTTTCGTTTCAGCCACTTTAAATATCCATTTTAGGTCTCTACCATTTTAAAGTTCTCTTCCTCAAAAGCAGACATGTCTAAAGATAGTCCATTGTAAGAATATTAATCTTTAGTTTAAAACAATACTTCTGATCAGTACCGCAATAAAATTAACGCGTTAATATATAATTATTGGTTACAGGTGAACATAAATATAAATAAATTATTTGAGGCCTTAAGATAAATAATTTTCAGGTCTGCTAAATTTATTATTTTTGCAAGTTGTGTTCTTACATCATGTAAGTTACATGATATTAATTTTGATATTCAGGGTCAGTTTATTGTCCAGTTTCAGAATAATAATATGGAGTAAAGTTTCGCTTCTGTTTTGGCCACCAAACCTTCACGTTTTAGTAACGTTATAACAGCGTGGCATAAACGTGTCTGTATACGAGCCAAGAACGTCGTTGGAAATTTACTGCCACTAAAAAGTCTTCCCCATTTTAGTCACTTCCATGTAATAAAACCGTGTTTACCACGTGGCAGTAATTTTGGCAATACACTTTACAGTTTCAAGTTTTGGCCAATACATTCAATCCATTAAAAATGCTACTAAATTTACTTAAATACTTATGTACCTATTATAACCCATAATGGGTTCTTTAGGTTTAGTTTCATAAATAATAAAAAACATCTGCAAACATATGTATTTAAAAACTTACCTTTTGAAGCAAAAATGCAAGTATGCTTAACTCTGGTGGTACGAATTGTTCTCTGTAAGTTGGTTTATCCTCTTTCATAATAGAAGGTTGATGACCCAAAAGTTTTGTGTTTAATTTAACGCGCTGCTTATTTAACCATTGGGTGGGACCACTTATTTCTTCGGTAGGCGACGGATTGCTCAAAGGTATATTAGTTCCGCCGGATATACTTGCGGTACGAAGAAGCTTTTTAATACCACCACCAAATAATCTAAAAAATATGTTTTCAGATATAACTGTTCGTTAAATTTTCCAAATACCAAATAATTTGGTTTTGGGCTATGCTTGATTGTTATAATTAAATTCATATCTTTAAAATTAAGCTCCATATGAAATTTACGAGTCTTTAACACTACTAGTCGCTATTATATGTTTTGTGTATAAACCTTTTGCTTTGCCTGAGCATCTTCTCCACCACACACTTAGTTGTGAAAGAAAATGTTATGCACTGATTAGTTTACTGTTTCCTATATAGAAAGTCGCAAATTTTATTAATCAACCTCCTGGATTTGCAATACAATTTATCGAACAAAGCATAAGTTATATTTATTTCTTATTCTTATTTAAAAGTATCAATGCATACACGTAAACCTGCCTTGAATTGCTTTTGCATTGCAAGACACTAAAGCGGATCTTACCTTCCCCAGACTTCAGCATTGAAATTGTGTCCGGTTACGTGAAATAGGATAACGCAATCGCAAGTGACTAGACCATATAGTAGAAGTGCCAAGTAGGTAGCGGTGAATGCCTCGCATAATACGACAGTAAGCCTGGGCGTATCCTCGTCCTTCTCTCTGGCCAACAGGGAACGCAAGTTGTTCACGCCAGGCCATTTTTGCGGTAACGTGATTATTGTTTGGCCTTCGTTCACAGACATGCGACGTCTGCGGCCGACCAAGTGGGTCGAACAGAGCTCCTAAAATATTTGCTTTATTAACTCTTAATTGCTCGCGGTGTATTTTGTACACCAATGCCATGTCAACAATTGCACAGTAAAAACTAAAGGTGAAAATCACTAGGCTCAGTCATGCAAATATTTGGACCCAAGCTCAGCCTAGGGATTTTACCAGAAGCTCGCGAAATTCATCATGGATTTCGGCTCAGATGAAATTCACTACCGGCCAGTAATATGTAGCTAACATCAGTTTCCGTCCGTGCCTTTCAATATTGTTTTACTTTTTCAGTGTTGTGTAATTTCAACAAATAAAACACTGAAAAAATTGAGAAAGAAGTTAAAGGCAGGGCCGTAGTCAGGAAAGGGGTGACAATAAAAGAATAAGCTGTCAGGAAAAACATACATCAACTCATTTGTTGCTGCTTACTTATTACTAGACAGAACACACGAGTAGGTTTACTATTTAATCACATTTATGAAAACGTGCAAAACGGTAAATAAATGCATTTTTCAAATATCAATTGTCAAAGAAAGAAAAGGGGATAAGATAAATTTACGCAAGAACCTAGGAACTTTTTTCCCGAATTAATGGAATACAGAAAACAATTATTGGTTTTTGTAGTACTTTTTCCAAAATAGTTTTAAAAATTGTTTAAAACTTATCAAATAGCAATTTAAAAAAATACCGATTAAAAAAATTGTTTATAATAAACAATTTAAATTTTAATAATTTTCTTAACGTTTTTCTTGAAATTCGTTTAACTTTAAATTTCTAAAAAATTAAAGGCTAGAACAAAAATTTTGGATTCTCAATTAACCAATGACCAATGATGTCATTTTGTTTTTGTTTTTGTCAGCCAGCGCAACTCGCCTAGTCCGGGTGCGCCCGACGCGACACGTTTGATCGCGATGCATACATAAATGCATGCACAAACAAAAAAAATATTTTTTTATTTATTTTCTTCTTAAAATAAAGAAAATAATAATAACTATTTGTCGGAAAAATGTTTTGTAATTTTTTTTTATACTAAATAACCCCCTCTACAACGTGGTAGGTATACCGTTGGTGTGCCATTTTTCGGTCAGCCTGTTTAAACCAAATAAATATATATATATATATATATATATATTTTTTGGTACTCGTCCTATTGGATTTATAATACAGTATGTGCACGGACAATTTATTTTACATTTCCCACAAACTCTCTCTTGATAAAAGTTTTTGCTTGATTTCATACCCCCAGAATAGGCGACACATCATTTTTATTGTGTATGGTTAATTTGCAAATTTTGATTTTTTTAACTGAATTTTTTTTATTAAAGATAATTTTGGGTCAGTTTAAGTTTATTTTTGTTAAAATACTCGTCAATATCATTCTTACGTGACCATTGATAATTATTATTATTATTATTATAAAATGAAATTAGCTTGCAAATTTGTGGCGGAGGATGATATAAGTATTGAATAATAATGGCTTGTCAAGTTACTTTCTGAAACAAAGTCAAGTGTGGGTTGCCTTTCTTTTTTGTAATGCAATAAGCTGTACTTACTTGTATATAAATGTATATTACCTACATGATGTACCTGATATGGAATTTTGTATTCTTTTAAGGTGTAATAAATAAATAAAAAAAAGTATTCGCGTTCGCGATGGATTGTTGCATAATATGCCGCTGTTTAGCCAGTCGTTATTTTACAGAGCGTAATCCTTAGTTGCCTTCAGCATTGCCCTTTATACGGGTGTATTGACTTTTCTGTGTTTAGGTTATTTCTTAAATGCCTGCTCGTTCGATGTATTTTAAGTGTCAGTATTTATTTTAGTTTTGTCAAGTTTTAAACACTTTATTTTTATTGGGACCGGTCTCTTAAATTTATGTTTGTTTTGTTGCGATTTTAGTTATTTATTGGTTTATTTACACTCTCCCGCTGTTTTTAGTAATTGACCGCAGTACAAAATAGGAACGCCTTGTTTATATTTTTTTATTGGTTTGTTGCTATTGTCTTGGTACTCATTTTGATAGTGCTCTTTGTACCGTTTTTTTTCTAGAGCATGTGTTTTCGCGAAAATAAAAAAGGTTTTTGTTGCAAATTTTCGTATCAGGTCATGCGGTTAATTATTAGTAGTTATCGTTTTCTGTAAATGATGGCCCCTTCCACCCTTGGTAAGCCTCGATTATTCTTTACGTAAGGTGATTTCTATTGTTCTATTGACTTAGTTTGAGTGATTTATTTTTCTACTAAGACTTCGGGGAGCAGGTACAGTGATTTATCCTGCACAGGTAGTGGATCTTGGCACTTATTTCGTACAAAATTGTCCTTGAACTGCACGGCATATAAGCTATTTTTATGTTTCTTTAAGACTTTTATTATGATGAGGTACACTTGCCCGTCTGTATTATTTTTTTTTATGTAATTAAAATGTAAAACAATAATATTTATTTATTTAATATATTTAACAATAATTTAAATTTCAACATTAATACGTTTTCGAAATCGAACAAGTACAATGAACCTTAAGTAGGTATGCATTGCGATTGTAGTGTCGCGTCTGGGGCGCCCCGTTAAGGCGAGTTGCGCCGACTCACAAAAACAAATGCTATTCATCAGTTAATTCAGAATCCAAAAATTTTCTTCCCGTACTTTGTTTAGAAGACTTTGAGAAATATAGAGTAAACCGGAGTAAACAAATTTTCAAGAACAACATTGCGAAAATTAATATAAATTAAATACTTTCTTTAATTGCAATATTTTTTTATGAAAATTTTAAAAGTTTTAAACGATTTTCATATAGACTAAAATTTCATCAAAAGGCATTATTTCCATGATAGAGTTTCTAAAAAAATCGTCAAAAAAACAATTTTTTTGAAACTTCCATAATTGTTTATATTTCCTTTAAAAACAAACAATTTTTTTCTAAATTGTTGATTGTTTCGACCTTTAGTTGATGAAACTCCATATTATTAATATACAGGGTGAGTCATTTAACTTGAAACTTTGAAATATCTGTTAGTATGCATTTTACGAAAAAAAATTTTAAATAAAAATTAAATGATTCGAGGGGGTAAATCAATCAGTACTAAAATTGGTCCTCATACTCTCTCCTTATAAAGTAATTTTAAAATTTCCAATGGAACACCCTATTTTTTATTGCAGATTCGGATCATTCGACTAAAAATAGGTAGATTTTGTCTAAAACATTTTTTCATATTTGTAATAGATGGCGCTGTAATGAAAAAAAATCAATTTTGTTCGATTTTTCTTTTGTATACGATTCTCCAATAATTTTTGAATAAAATACTTGGTTTTGTTTTAAATTTATTTATTTATTTTTTAAATTTTAATTAAATTTGCTCGACGCACTCTTTTTTTCGGTTGAACACTCCCGTTTGTAGTAAACTGCTTGACTGTACGGTGAAATTAAGTACGAATTTTTTCCGAAAAACGCTGGGCGTAGATATTAACAGCATCATCAAGATTCCTGCCTGCTTCTCCATAAATCAAAATCATTTATATTTTCTCTTCCACTGTTAAAAAATCCATTATGAATAACTGCTTAACAAAAGGAGGTCTTTTTGTTTGCAAATTAATCTTCGAACTAAATTGATTAAATGTCAACTATAAATAGTTTCTTTATACCTCAATAATAATTATTATTTATAACTAAATACCATTGTTTATACCTCAATTAGGATTGTATAAAATTTATTTTAAAATATTGTTTATTATGCTTTTAATAAGTTATAAGCACAATAAAAATAATATTATAAAATATTAATTTAATAACTTGTGGTTTTTACTCACAATTTTTAATTGTGACGGGCGGGACAAAAATTACCGAGTAACGTGGAATGCCCCTATTTTTTTTATATATATTTTTTAGTTTAACCATTGTTTCGGTACACGGTGGCTTCTTTAAAATAAGTAAAAAATTTTATTAAGTGGCGTTATTTATATTTGTTAATGCAGGTATTTGAAAAATACGTGTTGTATAAACATTATACCTGAGGGCATTAATTACAAAATTTTGGAAAAACTATGGATTTGGAAAGTCCCCTCTAATATAGTTTTACAGTATTAATAAATATTAACTTTATTTTTAGTACTACCGGCATACATTTTAAAATAAATTTAGCAAAGGAGAGTTGTTAGTTTCCATTTGGTCAAAAAATCGGATATTGTTCTTAATGACCAAATTGAAACTAACAACTCTCCTTTGCTTAATTTATTTTAGAATATATACGTGTAGCACTAAAAATAAAAATAATATTTATTTATGTTGTAAAACTATATTAGGACTTTCCAAATCCATAGTTTTTCCAAAATTGTGTAAGTTTAATTAATGCCCCCAGGTATAATGTTTATACAACACGTATTTTTTCAAATACCCGCATTAACAAATATAAATACCGCCACTTAATTCAAATTTGTACTTATTTTGAAGAAGCTGCCGTGTAGCGACACAATTGTTAATAAAAAAAAAACATAAATAAAATAGTTAACTTTCAAACAGTGTTGTTTTCATTCATGTTGTTTTCTAAACTTTATGAAGTCGGAAAAATAGTGATACGTTTCAAGAATTCTCACCGTTTTACGAGGGGCCAGTAAAATTTGTAAAGCTAGTAAAATCCCTACCCTGAGCTTGGGTCCAAATATTCGCAGAGCTAAGCCAAGGGATTTTACTAGATGTCAGAGATTTTACTAAATGGCAGTGAATTTTATCAAGTTTTGATGAAATTTTCTTGGCTGGACATCAAATGGCTAGCGTCTGTTAAAATTTTTATTAAAACTCAAATCCATGTTTATTACTAGGCTAAAAACTTAAAATACCAGCGTTCAGCCTAGTGATGAAAATGGATTTAATATGACCCGGTTTATATGCATTTCAAACGGTGAATTTAAATTAATTGAATTTTTTTGCAAATTCCAATATAAACATTTTAAGAACCTTAACGTATGAAAACTAGATGCTTGGTTTGTTTTCTGCCTTACTTTAGTTTAAGTCAATTTTAGGTTTTTCTTATAGACGTTTTAATAAAAATTCGAAAATTTTGACTTCATGATACTACGTTTTCTATTTTAAGTAAGAAAACATTCTCGACAAATAAGAAAAGTTAAGAGAAAATATATGCTTCTTTTATTTAAATTTAGTGTTATTACTTATAATATTGCTACTTGATCCAATTTTGAAAAACTGCTGCAATATCGTGTTGACAAGTAATACTAAAAAAATGTTGAAATTACCTGTGAATCTTGTAAACTGCTCTTAAAGGTATCGGAATCGCACAGCGATTGGTATATGCATGCAGAAAGGGCCACCGCCAAATCTCTAAGCACAATTAACTGGCTTTGCGACGTACTGGGATGTGGTAATTCGACCATCTAAACATAAATAAAGTAAACCAACGCCGTTTGGCCTTGCGTCAATTATACTTACAGATTGCAACATATCGTGTATAAGACATTGCAAATATCTTATCGGATCGGCAACCACAGTTTTACAACTGGCAACACTTGCCGCAAGAAGCGGCAAACTGGTCGGGAACGGTAACGGACTTAGCAATTGCTGGCTGGTCTTCTCTTGCTGTAATTCTTGAAGAAGCAAAACCAGCTCCATCCTGACAGAAGCCAAGCCGCCAGTTGCCCCATGAAGGGAACAGTAACTTAGCAACGTTCTAAGCAAAGTTTCGTTTGCTAAAAGAAAAAGATATAGTTCATTTTTTTTTTATTTGGACTCGTGATTTTTACGAAGTTGGTTGCTTATGCCAGTTTGATTTAGGGTATTTCCACAAAACCTTACCCCACCTTGACAAAAAATCAGATGTTTATTTAACAACATAACAACTATATCTGAAGTCAAACAGTTTAAATGCGACGTAATTTATAACCTTAAAATATTCGTACATTGTGATGCTAAGAAGCTAACATTAAGAATAAACACGGAAGAGTTTCAATACTCGATAAAATGTTCAAATGTCGCAACCGTTACATTTTGAAAAAATTTTAGAAAATAAAGTATGCCATTTTAATGCATTTAAAATACGTGCTTGTTTGAGGTTACTATTCAAGTTTTACACAAAAAAATATTACTACGCTTTCAAAATTTTACTGTATAAACTTTAGAAGCCAACTTGGTCGCGCCCGTTACGCTATTCATGACGTTATAAAAGGTTTTCTATACAAGTTTTTATGGACATTTTGTTTGAGTTAAATTTTTCATACTATTTTTTAGAGATCGGAAAGTTTCCATTTTAAGGAAACTTTCCGTTTTGGAAAATTTCCAATTGGGAATTTATTTTCATTTTGAAAGTTTCATTTAAGCTACCGGAAACATTCCTTGGAAACATTCCTTGGAAACTTTCCTTGTTTTTTTCATTTAAATGTGTTTGTTTAACCGCTGATTTTCATTAAGGCCATGATACAAGGCCAAGAAACTTTGAATAAGAATTTAATGTGTGTTAATTTAAAGCAGAAGAAGAAGTATAAATAATGTAAGTTATGTCACAGAACATAAGTTATGTTACATAACCTCAATGAAGCCGGATTATTCAGCATCATCACAAAAAACTTTTTTAAAAAAAGGTAAACAAAATAAAAACAATAAAAAAAGTTAAAATCATTCTTACATTTTTGTTGTTTATTTATAGGCATAGCACAATGCCAAGAAAAAAATCTAGTGTTTGGAATTATTTTTTACTTTACTTTTTACTTTTCAATATTCCTATATATTAGTTACTTTGTCCCTTTTAATTTTTTTACGTAATATCTAGGATTTACTAGCAGTGAATTTCTAATAGTAAAACTTTTATTTTTATTTTGTAGGTTTCAGTATACAATAGGAATATTCCAAAGTAAAAGATACTAAAAATAGTATTGCATTTTTTTATATTTTTTTTCTTAATAAAATTTGACAAAAAGTTAATGTGTTATATATTTTTGCAAATCCCTGGCATAAAAAAAAATATTTTCGCAATAAAATTTTTTTTTTTTAAACTCTTGGAAAATTTCGGGAAATTTCGATGGAAAGTTTTCGGGAATTTTCGTCAAATGGGAATTTTCCCATCTCTACTATTTTTTTATATTAACGTATCTTGATATATGTATATGAACAAACTCTTTATTATCATGAAAAAACGCAGTTTTAGTGTCAAACCCGTTACAATGGAAATACCCTTTAGTATTTTTAGTATTTAAAAAATGGTACTTCTGCTGAAGACCTTATATAGTTGTCGCGGCGAATGTTTCAAATTGCGTCATTAAATTCTGACAGGGTTTCCACCGATTTGTCTAAACCAAATTCCCTGACTTTTCCAGGAATTCCCTGACCTTCCCTGATTTTTTTCTAGACAAAATGTGTTTTCATTTTGGTTTCCTGACCCTCAATGATTTTTTCAACTGGACTTTGAGTGTTGGTTTTTAAAATTTTAGTATGGGGCCATTCAAGTATTACGTAAGCAGTATTTTTGTAATTTTTAACCCCCCCTTCCCTTTGTCAGCAAAAGTAAGTAAAGCTTATCATTAAAAATATACAAAAAAAAATCAAAGCAATCAAGCAAAGACTCCCCCCTATGGTGCTTATGTAATACTTGAATTTATTTCTTTCTTGGTGGGGAATCATAACGATTAATTAAAAAACTAAACTTTTATTGAAGTTTATAAAAAAAACAAACAAAAAATAGCTAATTTTTTCTGGATAATTTTTTATTTAGGGTTTTGTTTCTTGGGTTTTTATTACATTAATTTTCTGTTCAATCTGAAAATAACAGAAATATTGAAATTTTTAAAAATGCCTCTGAAATTTTGTCTGCAGCAGGTCTTGTTTATTAAGTTGATAAGTTCTTATCAGTAAATATTTGATAGTACAAAAAAAGATTTTATTTCATCTATCATTTTTTGCAGGAAGAAATTGATTTATTATGGTTATTTTCTAAAGCAATATTGTTATTAATATTATTATACTGTAAAACTGTAACTTTTTCAAGCATACTCTCTAAAAAAGAATTAGTCAAAAATGACATGTTTCTGACCGACTTAAAAAAATTTAAATTCCCTGACATTTCCAGGTTTTCCAGATAAGTGGCAACCCTGTCTGAACCAAGCACAGAAATTACAAGTATTGTTGTTTTCTTTTACGTATAAAATCCAAGGAACCGCTAGGTTAACCGTATGTCGAGAAATCGGTTTTTGACATTCGACATTGATGACGCAATTTGAAACATTCGCCGCGACGACTATAGTAAGGTATAATTATAAATACTCTGACAATGTCAAATTGACAGTAATATTTATCATTGATAATTGGACGCCTTTCTGCAGAAAGGAACCAACCCACAAAACCAAAAAAAATCGAGATATTTAGCCTATGAACTAATTAAGTATGTATAATTTATCTGCAAAATAGGTCATAGCCAAAATGCAAGTCTAGTGAAATCTATTAATCATCGAACCAACCAACATTCAATAATAGTGTGGATTACTAATCCAGAATTAGAATCTGTAGAATATCTGCAAGTGGGTTGGATCTTTTTTGTAAAAAAGCAGGCTGGTAGACCCACTACCAAAGTCTTTAAAGATTTCCTGCTTCTGTAAAACATAAAGTCTTGATGCATTTTTTTGGTAGCTTACAAGATGAGGTGGGGTTGGAAGATGATGTGGACGAATTTCAAATAGAATCAAAATTAATTCATATTACCATTATAATAGTAATATCAGTTGTATTTTGTTTGGAAATAAATAATTGTCGCTTTTCTTTAAATACATACATACATCAGATAGTAGTTTTCATAAATTGCAGAAAGGAACCAACCAACAAAAGCCCGTTTTTTTCGTCACCCTTACACATAACATCACAAAATCCACCTGATAAAATTATTAAATTATATCCCTTAAACCCTTGTAAGTCCAAAATCGGCATAAAATTAACAGGTAATTTTAAAATTATTAAAATCTTTGATAGCTTTTTTCTCAGTTTCATCATGGTGTGGGTTGGTCCCATTCTGCAGAAAGCCGTCCAATTTACTTCTTAATTATTATATAATACAAAAAGATACAGATAAAGATAAAGATAAAAAATAATATCAAATTCTAAAGTAAAAGAAGTTTTAAGGGCAAAACTTAATTTCGATGAAGTTATGCCAAATGCCTCAATATCAGAAAAAGTACATCGCCTTATGGACATTTTTGGAGTAAAAAAGTAACGTTTTTGGTTTTACAAATATTAAATCACACATTAAATACCCATTCACCATTGGAGTCCAATGATTGGACAATATTTACGTGTGTTCACATAAAATTTTAATTTATTTTATATAAATTAAATAAAGAGAAGATTATTATCCGGATTACTTTGTCTCTCCTGGGCCATAGTCACCTATATTTAAATACTTTTTATATGATTTTACTTATCTACACGCCACCAAAGCCAAATTAATTGCATTTTTAATTACGAATTTTGACAACAACTTGACAACACTTGACAACCGTTCAATGTAACCTACAATAATTTAAACATAACCACAATTACATTATAATTACATTTATAACTATATATAGTTTAGTTTGTTTTAATTATGGCCACTTGCACTGATCAGTTAAATAAACTGCCAATTTTGGTTCCGCATTGACCAACCAAAACCCTAAATTTGCAACGTTGCCGCAGTCCAGATAAAAAAAATGAACTTTAGTAAACTAGCATTTAATAAATGATTTTCTTTACCTCTTAACCATCGTTTTCTCTTTGCCGCTCGGTTAACCTTCGCTTCAAAGTCGAGCTTCTCCTGGACCAGTATTTCGTGTAAAGTTGGTTTGGAACTGGTCACTTCGCTGTTTTCAAGTTCCGTGGTCTGCTCTAAATCTGAAGGTTCCGTGGAATCGGTGGTTACGTAATTACAAAGTTCCCTTAGGGCTTCCACCTCTTTTTCTAACCAAATATACAGCTGGTAACGCAACTGTCCACCTAAAATTTGCTTTTTTTTTAATATAAAATCTAATTTTATATGTATAGAATTTCGATTTTGGACCAAATTAAGTCAATATTGTTGGTACGAAATATTTTAAAAATTAAAATTAATTATGTTTAATTGGGTAGTTTGTTTTAAAGTTTAACATAAGTTTTTTATGGTTTTAAATTAAAACTTTTAATTTATCAAAATTTTAATTGCATTTGCCGATTCTGAAATATACAAGGTGTCCCTGAAATCCCTGTAAGAGTTGTTTTCGATTTTATTAAATAACGGGGGTTTATCAGGACAAGAAAAATAATTTCTTTAAAAAAATAATGTGGGTGGTAGAGGGCGCTGTCTGCGACAATTCGCATACGTTTAAATGTTCACATCTTTTTTGTGCCTAAGTGTACACATTTTAATAAAAATATAACTTTTTTTATCTTCATTACGCAAAAAGTTACACCTTGTAAATGTCGCTCCAAGTAACCGTTTTTGAGATATGGGCGTTTAAATAAATTAGAGATAAAAGGGTTATTATGATTGGACAGTAACTAAATTTGTAGCGTATCTTAATGTATTTTTTTATCTTAACCTACTGAACACTGACAATTTAAATGCAAATATCTCAAAAACTGTTACTTACAGCGACATTTAGAATGTTTACCTTTTTCATGTAATAAAGATAAAAAAAGTTATATTTCTATTAAAAACGTGAATACACTAAGGCGCAAACGAGATGTGACCATTTAAACGTATAAAAAGTGTCGCAGACAGCGTCTCTACAACCTAGATTAATTTGTTTATTGAAATTATAATAATAATTTTCCCGGCCTGAAAAAACTCATAAATCAAATTTTGTGCAAAAACGTTTGTTTTTGTTTTCAAGTTATTTAATAACAAAAACAAGATCATGTAATGCTTTATAAATTCATTTTCATTAAATATCCTGCTTGTTTAAAAAATTTGATTTTCAAAAAAAATTATATCAAATGATTGCTTAGAAATCAAAATAACTCATATTAAATTTTTTGAGCATCCTGTACATTTGATTCAATTTTTTTATGAGTATCTCATTTTTTAAACAAGCAGGACTTTTTATAAAGAATTTTTTTTCGTAAAACGCAAATTAACAATGTCTTTACTATTGGCAACCCAATCCAGAGAAAGTTGAAAAAAAATCAAATGTGTAGAGGTTAAACTGATTTTAAATTTAGTTTCATCAAACGAAAATACATAGTTGTTAAAAGTACTTAAGTCAATTTGTGTGCCAGGAGAAAGCACATTTTAACCCATTGAATGAACGGCACATAAACTGCCTATTTGTACAAGGTTTAAACTAAAACCATAAAATTATTAAAAATATATATATAACTACCCCATTGTTTTATAAAATAGTTTGTTACATTATTACAACATTTAAAATGATTAGTATGCACAAATACATATTGAAAATGTTAGTTTGATTATAGGATAAAAAAGATCATCTAATAATATTTATAACTGCTTTGCTATTCTTGAGTTTTATTCAATTATTAGAAAATCTATTTTTTTCCGCTGAAGTATCATAAAATTGTATAGAACACAATGCAACACCTATTTAAATCATACATTGAAATTTTCGTGTAAAACCACGAAGACCGCCATTACCTCCACCAAATTTAAATTGGGAACCTAAAATATCTTTAAAAAATATTTTAATAATTATATTTCTGTATTGATAAAAAAATCAAATACCAGAAACGTTGAGGAAAAATTAGTAGAAAATAATAGTTTTTTTCTATGGGTTTTCGTTTTCAAGTTATAGTTTTTGATTAATAACTTTTGAACAATTACAAAATAAAACGAAATTTTAGCTATGGCTTTATTTGTTAAAAATTAACAAAATACTTTAAGGGTTACTCAGTGGCGTACATAAGGATATTGCTATAGGGTTTGGGAAAACAAATTAGTACCTTGCTGAAAAAAATATGTTGTTTATTTTTTTTATTTTTCTTTTTATTTTAAACAAAATTCACCTCTTGCTTTTTATTTATATTTCTTTTCGTTTTCTCACAGCCTACAGAGGTAAATTAATGTAACAAGAACATAAATGATTATACTATAATCTAGTCTTAGAAAATCGCAGAATAGGCATTGAAAAGACATTACCAAATAAAACAATAGCCTTAATTTTGTTTCCTTATCTTCAGTGCTCAAACGTTATTTAAACAAAAATGATAATTTTGAACACCCTGTAACTCGAAAAAAAAACCCATAGAGCATAATTTCATATAAAAGAAATTTACATGTAGTTAAATGTAATACAAATTCAAATTACCATCAACTTCAAAACCCGTGGCAAGAGTCGATAATTCCTCCATTAGTATCTTTAAACACGCAACGAATTTCAATTGCTGCGCCATTATGTCAATTCGTTGTTCTCCGTCACTTTCTTCGTCCGGCTCTTCTTTGCCCCCTTTATCCTCCGAATTACCCAATTTCATCTTCAGACCTTCCTCGGAACTGTCCGACTTCTCGCCCTCGTCGTCGCTCCATTTCAACTCGAAATCGTCCGTCTTTACTTTGTAATCAACCGAAGAACCGCCCCAATCAAAATGGCTTGAACTCTGTTCCACTTCCGGCTTCGTATCCCACGATATAATTCCGGTGTTAATATCTTCTTTATCTGTTTTGCTGTCTTTTGCTTTAGTAACTACAACAAAAACACATGAGGTAACCATCACTCAAAAAATTAAACTTTACATACCTTTGGAGGCTGATTTTTCGGAAACCACATACGGTAATTTAGACAGAACTTCCAAAGCAAGCGCAGGGCATCCGGCCCGGAAATGGCCGTGCGCAGTGGCAAAGTATAGCTGTCGTTCTAAAGGAGTGATGGATTCCTCGACGACCACTTGTTTTCCGCTAGGCAACCACACTTTTCTTTGGCCATAGTTGGCCATGTGTTGTCGCACCAATAACGGATGGGTCCTCAGATACACGTAAAAGTTAAACACGTTCGGATCGGCTTCTTTTGTTCCTCGTGCTTCATCTTCGTGAGCGGGATGGTTTGTACCTTAATAAATAAAGATATCTGTGTTTTAAAATTATATATTTTACTACATTTTAGGCAATAAATTGACATATCATACCATTTAGACATTTTTAAAGTGTTTTTTTTTCTAGGACATGTTTAGGACATTTTACGAGAATTGTGTGGCATTTTGTTCTATTTTAAGTTTAGTTCATTTAAGAGAGGGTTACAACAGTTTTAAGGCAGTTAATATACAGGCAGAATACAGCTTTGCGATTTACTTGTATACTCGCTTGTATAATTACTATGGGGGCCACAAGAAGGTGAAACTATAACCCGTTCAAACTTACATTAATAATTAAAAAAATATATACGTACATTTTAATATTATTAAATTATTGAATATTTTAAATTCTTGCCTTCTTGTCTAGTGTGTTTAATAATTATAGTGAAAATTATTTCGAAATTAAAATTAATCAAAAACTACTTAAGAAGCATGATGGAACAATAAGAACTTTATTGTCAATTGTCTATTGAGTATTTCTGGTCAAGATATTAAGTATGTGGCAAAAAAATACTGTAAAATATAGCTTTCCTATAACTGTCTTAACTAAATTTTCATTTTTTCAGATTTACAGTGTATTCCAGTTTGACCAAAGAAACAAGTTTCTGTTACTTAAAGTGCATCATACGTTTAGGGCAGGGGGGTGGTTCTATTGTTTGTGATGAAGTTTGACATAAGGGGGGAATTTAGATCAAGCGTTAGTCAAACAAAAATATAAAAATATTTATATTTGGAAAAAACAATAAAATATAACGTGCACTTTATGAACAATCACTAATTATAAAGAAACATTTCAATAAATTCCACATTGCTATAGCCAAACTGCATAAATACTCCCAACAATAAATTTTATATGCTGTTTCATCTGGAAAAAAAAGTATTGCGTTAATTTTAATCAGTAATAGACCCCTGACATTTCCCAACTTTTTTATGGCCTCCTTGAATAAGTAGTAATAGGAATCGATTTTCGGTTAACCATGATTTTGACCAGCCCGTTATTTGGTTAGTTGGTTTTCGGTTAATAGCTAACCGAAATTTTAGTACATTGTCTAAAGCCGCCTACTTACAGTCCGTTCAGGCTAAGTTAAGCGCTTTGGTGGGGGATCATGTGACCGTTGATTAAATTAAATATCGAATCCTCGCAAGATTTCGGTAACAAGAAGATGATTTATCAGTGCCGGGGCTTGCGGTTTGTTGGTACAGAGCGGCTACCGAAATACATGTATTTAATTGTGACTAAACATAGAGATAATGGACGGAGTGACATTCCTTAGACCGCTCAACATAGCCTGAACGGACAGTACACGGCAATTTGCAGGGGACAATAAAATAATACAATATATGTCCTAAATTAAGACCTTTATTTAATTAAAAAAAATTATATATTTTAATTTTTTCAGAAATAAGCGTTAAACTGACACACAACTGTATTCAAATGTCAAAGTGTGGAGCATAGATTAGCGTCTATTTCCTGTGCTTTACAAATGAACTTGTTGATGTGCTGCCATCTAACCACGGCGATCGGTAACGCTTTTTTATATTAAATTTCACGCATCTTTAAAATTATTATCGACGCCCGGGGTAAGGCGCCTATTAATTTGTTTTTAATTGACATAAATGTTAAAACTAATTTTATATATGTCTAAACAGTTAAAGTCCTAATTCGGTACATGTGCATATTTACCGCTTGGTTAAATTAAGAAGAACAGTCATTTACGCCGTAAAGGTATCAAAAATATAATTATAATTTATAAATGAATATTCTCTTGTTGAAAGTGTATGATCTACAGTCACGTGCATTGGATCAGCCATTGTGTGGTGTACCACCGTTTTACCTTGGTTAAGATCCTATCGTAGGCGGAGCTATGACTGATCGCAAGCGATTTTTGAATGTCGTTGCTACTGAGCTATTGATTCCAACTGTACAGGCCCTCAGGACTCCCAGATAATAGTAAAAAAAATTCTACCTTTATTATAAAAAAAATAAATGGAGGGTAAACATTGAGTTTTTAAATAAAAAAAAATAATGGGTTTACCTTCATTATATTATTTAAAGTCGTTTTATATAGATTAGGTCTAATGTACAGAATGCTCAAACAATGGTTTAATTAGGAATTAATGTTTCATCTTATAAATAAATGCATTTTAGGATTTTTACTTGAATGGGTTTGGAAACATGATGTTTAATTAATTGGTTAATTAATTGTTATCTGTTCACATCACACGATATAAAATGATTGACAGTTAAAATTTAAACTTAGATTCTGTCATAGCATTTATGTTAATTATTGATATTAGTGAGTAATACCAAAGATAATTATTATCCGAAAACCAAACAACTATTTTGAAAACATTAAATGAAATAAGGAAAGAAATAATCAAGCAACACCAAGAAAAAGTATGTGGCAAACAGAGAAAAACGAATCAGACCAACATTATGGACTTATAGAACATCTTCCTGAAAGCTTTTCAATTTTAGCAGGTGGAACTGTGAGATCCTGAAGAAATTTTTTAATGTTGAATGACCATGCTTCCTTGCCGTTATATAATTCTGGATTAGTTCAAGTCTCAACAATTTGATAAACAATCTTCTAGGTAGTTTGAAATCCTGATTGTTTTCTCCGTATATCAAGAACATTAATTTGTCTGATCAAAAGAAATCCCCAAATAACATTTACCTTAAAAGCCTAAATCACAATCATCACTACATAAGTGGGGTTTTACACACCTCAGATCGTTTTAGATGCATATAGCTCAGCTCCCTATACACGCAATACTGCTGATTTCGATAGTGGGGACATATCTTGGAAGCAAAGCAATTTCCAAACGCTTGTGTTTACCACACCCCAAATATGTAACGCCGGGTTAAAACTGTTCTTAGAACAGTGTTCTACTAAAAGTACCCTGCAAATTGCTGTGTGAATAGACAGACCGCTTAAAGCTTAATTTTCATGTATCCGTTTGTCCGTTCATCCGTGAGCGCTCTTATTGGTCCAATTATAATTGGAAAATTATGACATTTTATCTGTCACTCCACATCTGCTTTTGACGCCCAATGTTATTTTAAGATCATTTATTTTCAAATCTTTTTTTATTTTTTCAATAAGATTGTAAAACGGAAATATTACGTTCGTTATGTGAATAATGTTCTACGGTTATGTTTTTATTTAATAAGAATAACGGGAAAAAAGAAAAGACAAACAAAATATATATTAAAACTAGAACTAAAAGGACCTGCTTTTTTAAAACTATACATTTTAATGTACTATGCTCCACACCTCAAAGTCCCACCACGTGTATATTCAAAGAAAGAAATATTATTAAGTTTAGGCGTTAAAAATGTATAAATAAATCTTTATAACATTTCAATAACAATGGATGGTTTAAGAATTTAATAATATAAATACTGCATTTAATGAAATTCTAAAGTGTATGGTACCAAATAAGTAATATTTTTGTGCATTTGGTCCAAATATCTGGTTTTCTCCATAAAATAATTTTAACTAAACAGCATTTATAAAAAAAAATTAACTTCTCTATTATGGAATAAGAATATCTTTATTAAAGGTAGGTTAATATATTATAACAAAAATATCATCTAATTTAGTAATTTTAAGGTTAGAAAAATTTATTTTGACCAAAATAAATAAGTATTTTGGATTATTTAAAAGACAGTATAATATGGTATTTAAAAATGTGGTGGTTTTTCTTATCCAGCTTAAAGTGTACCTACATAAAGTTTTGTCAATACAAATAGTTAAAAAGCTTCGACTGAATTTGATCTACATTGAAAAATCATTATAACTTTAATATTTTAATACATCACATGTCATGGGAGTATTAAATATTTTCACATTGCAAGTTTCTCTAAATAGTATATTGTGTCTCAAGGGCAGAAAACTAGCTTTAGCAGCTCGCGGCTATTAACTGCCTGAGCGAGCGAAGCGAAGCGGGGGCAGTTGATAGCTAAGGGCTGCTAATGCGTTTTCTGAATGTGTGACACACACCTGTTTTTCGCCTAGCATATTTTTTTAAATTGTATTAATATAAACGGAATTTTATAAAAAACTTCAGTAACAATTTACGAATTTATTTATTGTTGTAATTAATGTTAATTATGCCTTGATCACAATTGTGGATAGTACCAGAATTTGAAGGCTTATTTCTACAGATGAAGTTGATGTTTCATTAGAATTATCTTTGATCTTTCCGATAGATAAGCAACTAATACATTTTCTGTTAAGTTTTTGGGTTTTTGATCCTTTTTCCAGTTTTTATATAATTCATAGCACTTTTCGTACCGTTGCAACGCATTGTCTTTTTCAAATCTGGTCAAGTATTCGTAAATTTTTCGTCACTGTCCGAGTTACCATTCATTTTTACTTTATTACAAAATTTAAATTAAGTTTTATTGTTATTTTATACTTTTGTTGTCCGTTTTTATTTTGATTTACACAAACGTCTGAAAATCTCAAATGTCAAAATGTCAAATGTCAAAATACATAAATGTCAGTCAAAGGTGTCTAGATTGTGAAATAATCAAGTTTAGCGGCCCTAGGGACGATAAATATTATTTTCGGTCATATTTTTAGGTTTGATATGATTTATTTTTATATGTGCTGGGCGAAAAAATTGTTTGTTTTCTTATAATCTAACTTAAAGTAGGTATGCCGAGAGGTATGCATAAGTTTTGTCGTTAGAAGTATAAAAGCTTCAATTTAATTTGAACCATATTCAACAATTATTTAGTACACCTATATTTATTTATGACCATATTAACACACTCTTCCAAATAATCCACTTATTTATTTTGGTCAAAATAGATTTTTCTAACCTTAAAATACAAAATTAGATGATATTTTTTGTTCTAATACATTAACCTACCTTTGATACAGATATTCTTATTTCATAATAGAGAAGTTAGATTTTTTTAATAAATCCTGTTTAGTTAAAATTATTTTATGGAGAAATGTAGACCCAATGCACAAAAGTATCACTTATATTGCACCTTACACTTTGGAATTTCATTAAATGCAGTATTCCTAAATTCTTAAACCAACCAGTGTTATTGTGATACTATAAAGATTTATTAACTTTTAACGCTTAAACATAAGCGGTAACACTATAAATATTATTTCTTTCATTGACTATACTTTGACAGATACATAACCTGAAAAGCCTTAAATGCCAAATTTCGTACGAGGTCACGTGGTGGGACTTTGAGGTGTGGAGCATAGTACATAAAGTTAAAGTTACAATTGTTGACATAATTATAACTATGACAATTAAGCATTAGGTAAATTTAGTAAAGTGAATATACTGACACTTAATTTCTATTTGTCGTCAAATCAATCCGTTAAACCAAACGGATTGATTTGACGACAAATAGAAATTAAGTGTCAGTATATTCACTTTACTAAATTTACCTAATGCTTAATTGTCATAGTTATAATTATGTCAACAATTGTAACTTTAACTTTATGTACTATGCTCCACACCTCAAAGTCCCACCACGTGACCTCGTACGAAATTTGGCATTTAAGGCTTTTCAGGTTATGTATCTGTCAAAGTATAGTCAATGAAAGAAATAATATTTATAGTGTTCCCGCTTATGTTTAAGCGTTAAAAGTTAATAAATCTTTATAGTATCACAATAACACTGGTTGGTTTAAGAATTTAGGAATACTGCACCCCCACCCAACCTATCCCTTGTCTATGCCGTTAAACGTCATTAAAAAGCGGATGCTTATCGGACGATTTTATTGAAAAACGGACAAACGAATACATGAAAATTAAGCTTAAGCCGTTGATTTATTGAAATATGATATTTCAAGTATACATAACTTATAAACACTATAATAAACACATTACAGAACATAAACACCTCCCAATTATGATACAACATGCCTCCCAACATTCAGTTTTGATTGTAAATATTGAAACTAACGAATAAAGTTTTAATAAAATTTAAAAAATTTCACATCACAAATAAATTTATAAATTTACCTGAACAAGTATTTTTTTGATCACCTTTTAAATATTGACAATTATTGGGTAAAGGCGCCCCCCACTTTGCTCTGCCCTGGGGCAACTTTTCCCCTTGTTTTGGCCCTGGAAGGAACGCAGAATTCTAAATTTAAAGAGCGTTTATTTAATTAAAGTAAATTAAAAATGTCCCTCTTATCTACTAAAAAAAAATGTATACAAAATGTATACATACATTATCGCAGTACTGAATTTCGCCTTATGCAATTAATGTATTTATTTTATGTAAATGTTACTCTTGTAATAGACTCATATTATTATATTATATTATTAAAAAGTTATGACTAAGTCATAATAATCTCTAGAGTACAACAAAAAATACCAGTTAGACAATTTTTCAAATCAAAAGGATAATAGACCAGTAAAAGCGTATGTTGACCCGATACTTTTAAAACGGTTGAAATTTTATTTTTTTTAATCGACGCTATGCCCCGCCAACTTAAAAAAAACACCTTACTTTTTGTTTTAATAACTTACGTACTGTTTATCGCACAAAGGCCAAAAACCTTTTAAAATACAGTCAATTTTAAGAGCTTCATTTTTATGATACTTATTTTGCTCACCGATGCGTTGTTGCATTAATGCAAAAGAACGCAACAACTTTTTTGGAAATTGGTTTCACCTCTTTTGCGATGTTTTTTTAGAAAAGGCCAAAAACCTTTTAAAATACAGTCAATTTTAAGAGCTTCATTTTTATGATACTTATTTTGCTCACCGATGCGTTGTTGCATTATATGCAAAAGAACGCAACAACTTTTTTGGAAATTGGTTTAACCTCTTTTGCGATGTTTTTTTTAGAAAATTACGCTCGAAGTCGCGAGCTCTGTTTCACTGGAGCGACGAGCGTTTTTCTGTAATTACGCAACAATGCATCAACAAAAGGTAAGTAAAAGTAAGTAAGTTTTAATACCTATTAAAATGCGCTTCTAATAGACATATTTTTAAATAACTTTTTTGGTGAAGGGTTTAAACGTCGAAATATGGTGGATTGTCCAACCTACACTGGACCAATTTAGTTAAAGTAAATTGTCATTTTATAAAACATGAACAATTTTTTGTTAAAAAATGTAGTATTTAAAGAGTGTTCGTCTATGTGCGACAAACGGTTCATAAGTTATTCAAGAAAAACGTTAGGTGTTAGGTTGGCAGGGCATAGCGTCGCGGGGATTGTTTGGATCAATCCAAAAACCAGAATACATACTATTTAATATATGCTTTTTTGATTAAAAAAATCATCCGGTATAAAAGTATATAAAATCTTACCCTTTTACTGGCCTTTAACTTTTTTATTTGACTTTGATTATAATATAGTCAACCCACGTCAAGTGGGACCAGAAAATTTCACGATATCACCGATTTTGAAAATAATCACATTATGTCACGGTAAAAAAATTATTTTAAAATTCGTTTTTTTGGTAATGTTATTAAGTTTAACAATTTTGTCAAAATTGAAAAAATAGAATGTCTGGGACCACTCTGTATAATTGAATTAAATTTTACACACTATTGCAGCAATGTTTAGACTATAGAATGATCATTTAATTATAGTAAATTTGTTTAAATAAAACTAATTTGCATACATTTATTATAAACAATTAAAATTTTGTATGTGTTCTTAACGCTGAAAAAAAAAATTAAACTTGTGTCATAATATGCCGCAAACGTTTCCGTTTAATAAAATGTACTCAAAAATTTGTCCTTCATATGTCATTCCGTAGATATTAATTGTTTTGTCCCGCTGTGCGGTTGATCAGTACTCAGCGCGCTTTGCTTCTAGCTCGTCAGCATGCGGTGTGCCTGAACGAGGTTTAAGTCACATAAAAATGCCGCTAAAAACTGACCGCAGTTTCTTGTTCGGGACCCTTTGGTGACTTAAAAACGATATTTACCAAAATCCTAGCTGCAACTCTTTTCGAAATTTATTATTTTTTTTTGAAATTTTTGAAGATAAACCTTTTTTGTGTATTATGCTTTTTACTATATAAAAACGTGATTTTTGGCTAACCCTGTATTTACCTAATGCTCAGTATAAAAACAGTATTCTGTCTCGTTAACAATATCAATAAAAATCGGTGTACAAATGTGTACTCTGCAAATTAAAAAAAAAGGAGTTAAAATTTTGGTAAATATAGTTTTTAAATCACCAAAGAGTGCCGATCAAAAAACTTCAACCAGTTTTTCGTTCAAAATTGAAAACTACCAAAAAGCCTAAATTAAACAACATTTTAAATATTCTCTAAGCGTTAATAATAATAATAATAAACATCTTTATTGGTTTCCCAACAGGCTATCGACCGTGGTCTTTCTGCCCAATTTTACAAAAAAAAATTTATAAATATAATAATTGTTAATTGTAGTTACAATATTGAATTTATATAAAAAAAAAAAAAAATAATAAAAACATATAAATCTCAAATATTTTAGTCTTCGTTAGTGATGTCCGTGATTATCTCCCATAAAGTTTGTGTAGGATATTTCCTTTTGGGGGGCAGGTTATGGTCTCTACCGTGCATTAAGTTTTCCATAATTTGTATGTTGTGGTGTTTTTTTGCAAATTGGCATGCCAGCTCCTTGAAACGTTCCAAAATGGGGGTGACCTGCGTTGTTTCGTATAGCAGTTGATTTGATGGATTATGAAGTGGATTATCTGGGTGTCTCATTTTGGTGATTATTCTCAAACTACTCCGTTCAGCCACTTCTAGCTTACCTACAGTAGTTTTTTTGCAATTTAGGTAGATTAGGAAGGCATATTCAATAATGGGCCTGCATATCATTTTATAGATTTTAATCGCAGTTTCAGGTTGTATACCGTTATTTTTGTATGTCAGGCTTCTGAAATGTTTGGCTCTTGCGTTATTTTATTTAATTTTATTAAAAATCTATTTTTCTTGTAAAAGATTAATAGAATGCCATTTTTTAACCTGATAAACGTAGGAATATCTAAAAAAAAAATGGGGATAAATCTTTTTTGCATGTTATGCGAAAACCATGAATTTACGCTTTTGCTTTATTAAAAATAAGTGATTTTTGGCTAACCCTGTATATATCAAATGATGTGAACAGTATTAAAAAGTATTCTCTAAGTTTCCTCAATAATATACTCCAATTTTATAAAAATCGGTGTACTTTGTCAAAGGTAGACTTTGAGATAAACAAAAATTTCAACAAAAATCATGAATTTTCAAAAAGAGGAGCAGCTAGGATTTTGGTAAATATCATTTTTAAGTCACCAAAGGGTCCCGAACAAGAAACTGCAATCAGTTTTTGGCGGCATTTTTATGTGACTTAAACTTTGTTCAGGCACATCGTGAGCACAGCGTTCCGGACGAGCTAGCAGCGAAGCATGCCGCGTACTGATCAAGCGCCCCAGGCGGCGGGACAAAAAATTTAATATATCCGGAACGACATATGAAGGACAAATTTTTGAGTACATCTTTTAAAACAGAAACGTTTGTTTATTAAAAATGTATGCAAAATTCTTTTATTAAAACAAATTTTCCTTAATTAAATGATCATTCTATAGTCTAAACATTGCTACAATAGTGTTTAAAATTTAATTCAATTATACATAGTGGTCCCAGAGATTATATTTTTTCAATTTTATCGTGCTCTTAAGTTTTACAAAATTATTAACTTTAATAACATTAACAAAAAACCGAATTTCAAAACAAATTTTTTACTGTGACATATGCGTCATGCCTACTAAACAATAATGTGATTATTTTTAAAATCGGTGATTTCGTGAAATTTTCTGGTCCCACTTGACGTGGCTTGACTCCATATTAACAGAAGAAGTATGAGGTTTAAAACGTTACATGCAAAAGACTTTGTTATAGGACAAAATGATAAAATATTACCTGCGTTACCGACAAGAAGCGTGCTTAGGGCTGATTGATGTTGCTTCAATGTCCACAATGCCATTGATCTAAGGAACGGATCTGGGTGTGCACAGGTCATGTCTTGATTTTCGCCGTTTGCGTCGTAGCCGAGAATGTTTTCGTACAACAATTTTTTTAAAAATTGATCTTCGCCTTCATACAATCGCACAATTATTATTGCCAATTGGAAGTCTTGCAGTCTGTTCAGACAAATTTCGACACAGTCTTTCAGGTTGCCAGCCAATAAGAAGAATGCCGCAGCATGTTCAAACCTGTACAATAAATCGTTAATAATTTTAAATGTAAAAAAATACACGTGGTTATTATATTACCTTTGTTTTCCCAATAAAGCGTAAGCATTTTTGAGGGCAGCTTTTCTCCATCTATCTTCTGAAAAATTGTGAGAAAAGAACTCCGTCATCCTCTCATCTCTCTTGGATCTGTATAATCCCCAAAGAAGATTTTTCTTGTTCATGGCCAAGTAGTACAACGCGGCATCCATGGGATCCTGCTTCGCCTGATACGCAGCTTTAGCTAATACCTGAACGCACTGCCTTAATAAAGCCGTGTTTCTTATCCACCACCCGACACCTAGTTCTCGTAGCGTGTTCCAGGTAGGTTCACCTTTGTTATAGCTTGGAATAAGATTAAGCAACTCCTCTTGACTTTCCGAGTGATAGGCCCACGCCATGTTGTTCATACCGACCCCGTTTTTCTGAAATTGCGATCTCTGCGCCAACGGCAGACACCTAAGCAAGTACCCGTAATGTTTCATGGCCAACAAGAAGCGTAGTCCGCAGTCATCAAGACTATCGGCGATAACTTCTTCCCCTTGTCCCACAAGATTCTCCTTGGCAATGGCGGATTTTGCTGCGTCGATCGCGAACCGCTCAGCCAAATCGATGTTGCACGTGGACACTGTGTCGGCCAGGGCCAGCAGATGCATCTGGTCCAAGCTGGACAATCCAGGCAGATGTATGTGGGTCAGTAGTCTCGATAGTACTCTGCCTTGTTTTGGAGTGAAGTGCGTAAGACCGACGTTTCTCTCTGAAGGTCTTCTTTCTGTTCGACCAGTGATTTCCTGATCTTCTAGAAGAGTATCCAAAGACTCTTCCATATCGAGGTTGTTATCAAACAATTCGTTGTAATCTTTCTTGTCTTCCTGAGTAACAGGTTGTTCTTTGTCAGCTGCTAGGAGCGTCCAAAGCGGCAGTGGAGGAATATTGTTTATCTCATCGTAATCCAGAGCAATTTCTCCAATGCTGGCTCTATGTTCTGGACTTCCTGCTGGATAACTCACTGACAATGTTCTGGCTCTTGCCCACCCTTGTATATCTTCGGGTTGTTCTTGATTTCCCCCGACACACTTAACCAAATGAGATAATATAGCTTTAACCCATCTAATTTTTCCAGAGTTAAGTAGCTCCATAAGCTGCTTGGGATGATATTGAGGTAATACGGGGCAAGCTATTCTGGAGGCTTCAAATAAACCATAATCTGGCATGTAATCGATGATAGCTTCTTTATTCCGTTTTCGGTCCAAAATTTGCAAATTCACCGAACTGATTCTTCCTAATGTTGGCACGGCCGCTAATTTTCTTTGATTCTCCTGCGTCAATGTTCTAAAGTCCATATCCCGTTCTGTTATTTCGCCTTGCTGCATTAATGGGTTTTGCGGTTTCCATTGCGTATAAACATGCATTTCTGAATCCATACCAACAACAAGAATGCCATCTCTAACCCAACTAATCTGCATTGGTAAGGCTGGAAGTCCATCGGCGGTTTGTAATTCAATTTTTCGTAAGGTCATCCATTTGAAAACATCGACGAACATTGGCTGAGCTAGGGAACTAGCTTTTCTTAAAATAGGTCTGGCATTATTCATTGATTCCTTCATTGCCTTAACGTTTGCTTGTGCCAAATCCGTGGATAGAGGTGTGTAAAGCATAATTTTACTTCCACAAGCTACAGTTAAAATGTGAGAACCATCCTCGTTCGAAACCCAATCGAGTTGAACAATGTGTTTCTGCGTTAGCGGACAAATATTTCCCATTTCCGAAATCGATTTTCTCAATGACTGCAAAGTGGTAAAACTGGGAACAGCCAGCAGGGATGGTTTAATATGGGGTTCTGTTGCTAGATTGGATGGTCTATCATCGCCGAAAGAATGGAGAACTTCGTTAATTCGTTGTTTCTTTTTTAGCGTTTTCGAATCGTACAGGTAACTAATATCCAGAAGCTGTACTATATCTATCCTAGGCAAGTGAATGTTTTTTAAATGGATTACATCTTCCAATATCCATTCCGTACCACCTGTCGATTCGCATTCATAAATTGCAACGCACAAATTAATATATCTCGAGTTGTGGTCATGTTTGTTTTGGTTTGGCCTGGTAAAACTTTTTCCGCTTTTGTACGCACACGCTAATCTTCCGGAATAAGCCACGCTAATATTCAAAACTTGTCCATCGATTATAATAGCAGATTCTTTTACCATGTTCCATTCCGTCCATACTTTCCCGCTATTCACTATTAACCCGTCTTCTTCCAGCAAAAGATGATTGTACGATTTAACGTCTTGTTTATTATACGAAACAGTCCAAAAGCGAATAATGCCGTCGCTACAGGCAGTGGCAAAGCAATATGGTGCCAGGCATGCAGGGTATATGGACGCTGAACTCAGGTGTCCAGCTGCAGGAGCAGCGTGGACTATTTCTACCCCATCCGGCAACGGTAATATCTAATAATAGAAATAAACATGTATTTGTTGGGCGTTAGTTTATCATACTCGTATTTTTTTCCCTATCAATTTTGCTACTTTTATTCTGGTATAAATTGCTGTAGACTGAATTATTTTGATGAACTATTTGAAATTACAAGTGTACTTGTGCAGGTGTTTTACAATTTTTTTTAGCACTGCGGCTCATCATGACTTTCGACACATTAATCATGCTCCATCAGTGAAATGAATTAAGAGATTTAGGGAGGCGGGAAACATAACGCCGAAAAAGGAAATAGACTGCTGCAAGACTATCAAACACCAGAAAAGTGTGTACGAGTGCAAGAGGCTGTTATGATAAATCCGCGCTGTTTGATTCTTAAACATTCAGCTGCGCTGCGTTAATCAAAATCTACTGTTCAGAAAATTTAATATTCCGATTGCGATTCCGAAAATTTAAGCGGTGATTTTGAAAGAAAAAAAAAGCAACATTATCCAAGCTTTCCATATAAATTCTCGATAAAATGGTCAGATTTTTTTAAAGAAAATATTAATTTGACAAATGCCCAAGCCTCAAATTCAAAGACCCTTTTGGATCTTACACCTCAGAAAATTAAAGAATGCAAAGCACACATCACACAGCAAAAGTAACTAGGTTACCAGAATCTAGTTTGGGCATTTTTTCTTGGAGCAATTTTTCTTGAATGCAAGTTTTATTGCTGACTGCAATACACTTTGCAATTCCAATTTCAACTTGCATGATACCAACCGAAGAAAAATATAAAATTTTATAAAATATTATAAAGTACAATTAAAATAATACTAAACAACAATATAATAAATAATATATAATAGAATTAGAATCTCTAGGGAATTAAAAGTGTGGATTGGTATGAAAAAAGTTACAAACTTTATCCCCAGACTTGCATGCAACTGGCAATACAAATCGAGCAGGACCGATATTTTGAAACGGCAATAGACTAGGGTAGCCGATTTTTTTCAAATAGATCGACTTTTGGAATCGATTTAAATCAAAGCTCCAAGAACCGATTCAGAAATAAATCGATGTTTTGTTAAAATTATGAAAAAAAGAAATTTTACTATATTTTTATTTGGAATACAACTGTAATAGTATTAGGTATATTATGTTATTGCAAATGCCAATCTTCAAAAGGTAACGAATTAAAAAAAACAAGATTTGATAATTTGGTTGGACTTGGTTTCTATTTGGATCTTATATATTTACCGCCTTAAAAAAACAAACGTTCTGAAGGGACAGATGTGCATAGTACAGAAAAGAATTAAATAGATACTTTTGAAAGCAGTGGATATGTTTTTTTAGTTTCGTCCAAAAATTAAATCGGATCTGAGGTAAATCAAGGTTGATTTAAATAATGTTTTCATCAACATTTGAGTCTGAATGCTGCTTCACGCACTATTTTTTGTTGGTAACTCCATATATTATGATTATTATTGTCACTTTTGGTTGTATTTTGTGGTAGATTTTAGGTTTTAGAAGTATAGTATATTAAAAATATTTCACTTTTCTAAAGTGAAATTTGAAGAAAAATAAACTTCAAATTCCGATTATTTAAAAAAAGTTGCGAACAAAATAATCGATGTGCGAAAAAATCGGGCATCAAAAAACCAATCCAAAAAATCGATGTTTTAAAAAATCGATTAAAAATAGACGAAACGTTGCTATGGGTATGCCTAGAATATTGCGTATTGCACGTAGAATTGCAGGCTAATTATGTAATTGGCTTATTAAAATTTGAAATTGGCTTCCCAGTATCTGGGCCACCATAATTTGACTGTAAATTTCAATATAAACTTTAACGAAAATCAATAAAATAGGTAGTTTTTAGATTCTATTGACAATTTTTAAGTGTTAAAGAAAAAGTTGTTAAAATTTTACACCCAAAACTTGTTTATTATACCTTATTAATATAGAGCAAAAGTATAGTACGTACCCTCACAGGCAAAATAATCGATCCACACAAATTTTTGATGAATTTCAATCGCAAATAACTTTTTTATTTGATTTCGGATTTAAACAAATATTAAAGAATATAGTAGATACATTAATGGATAATCGCACACATTTTAAAAATTACTAAAAAATACACGTACGTTTATAATATACAGGTTTAAACAAAAAGATGTTTTTTACCATAAGTTTAAGACACTCTGTAGAGTGGCAAAACCGTTCTAAATTAAGTTTTAATTATCAAGTCACATCTATTTTTAACAGTGTTGTTTTTGGTTCACCTTGATATATTTATTTTTGTGGAAAATATGGTTTTTTTTAAAAAAACATTGCATTTTCCAATATTTTTTCTGTATAAAGAACTAAGGTTGCTATGGTCCATCCATAGCCTATAGAGGATGACAGTGACAGTTTTGTTGAATCATCCCATACTTGGACGTCATATACAGCTTTCAAAAGCTATCAAATTGTTTTTTAGCTACAGTGTGTCTTAAACTTATGGGAAAAAACATCTTTTTGTTTAAACCTGTATATTATAAACGAACGTCTATTTTTTAGTAATTTTTTAAAATGTGACCGACTGTCCATTAATTTATCTACAATATTCTTTAATATTCGTTTAAATCCGACATCAAATAAAAAAGTTGTTTGCGATTGAAATTCATCGAAAATTTGTGTGGATCGATTATTTTGCCTGTGAGTGTAGTATGACAACTTATAAATACCCGTAAGTATAAATAATACATTTTATCTACTCCTGCATTGACGAGCTGTGACTTTATGGCGTTTTAGCCACGGGCTGAAGTTAGTAATAGTGGCCTTTGGGCATTTTAGTCACGGGATGAAGTTTATTATAAATTAGAGAAAAGTGAGGTTAATTACGTTGACATTTGACAGATGTCAAATGTTTATTAACAAATAAAATTGGATTTAAATTTTTCTTTGTGGTCGTCGTAGATAAAGTATAGTATAAAACTCGTTTTATAAACTTATCTAGACACTCGTTTTTATTAAACACTCGCTTGCAAGCTTCGCTCGTGCTTAATAAAACTCGTAACTAAAATGGCGTTTATAAAACTTGATACATAATATACTATTACAAGCTACAATTTAAACCATTTGATAAAAATGCTACTGATTTTTTTATTTTAAAATACTACTATTTTTAATTTTAAAAAACTACTAACCTGCTTTACCTCCCTCGTAACGGTAATATTAATGTGCGGACTGACTTTTGCTTGTTTAATGTGCAACGATTCCATGCTGTTTTTCCTGCTCAAATCCTCTTGATCCTGCACCAACATGCAGTCGGGAACGTACATTTCGCTTCCTGTCAAAATCATCTCGGAATCGGTGGAGGCGATGACTAGCTTCCACATGTGAATGGTGGTGTTTTGTTCAGAGCAATCGAGAAGAACGATAAAGAACGGCTCCTCGAATATGGACTGTTGCTGTAAATCCACCATGGCATCATGTCCAGTGATGTTGATTGGAGCTCCGCGATGACCAGTAATGAGTTGTTCCTATAAAATAATCATAAAAATTGTATAATTGGCCATTTCAAGCGGACGGACGGGACAAATCACAAAACTGTTTTTAATACTCTATACATTAAATAAAAAAATCGCAAGAAATATTTTATAAAAGTAGAGATAAATTCAATAATTGACAGGTGTGGACAGGACAAAATATATCTTTTTTTTTCTCCCGTCAACACCTTTCAATTATTAAAATTATCTCTACTAATATAAAATATTTGTTGCGTTTATAAAAGAAGAATATTTTTGACAATTTTTTTAAAATATTATACAGGGTGTTATGTAATTAATGTTATATATTAAAATACTGAATACCTTTTGACATAAGGAATAAAGGAAAAATATTTAAAAAAACATTTTTCCAAAGATAAAGAAAAAATATGCATTAGAAGTTTTTTATATTTTTTGTGATACGCCACTGGTTACACACTTGTTTATCTCTGCACACCCGTATTTTGTGAGTACATAGATACCAACCAACAAAGTAGCTATGCGTTGCCAGATGTAAAAAATTGTTTCTAAAAATTGTTCTTGCAAAAAATAAATAAAAACTCAATAAATACAAAAGTTTTATGCCCTTAAAGCTCTAATACCCTTCTGTATTTATTTACTGATCCAGCTATTAGCTTAAGCAATGATTAGAAAATTTAGTACCTTTGAAATTTGAAATCCATAACCACAAAATTAATTTTTTCATCAGTTGTTTTCTCTGTTTACTCAGATGAAATTGGGACCAGTTCACAGGTTAAACTTTAAACATTTAATTTGTGTAAATCACGGTCTTATATAAGACCGTGGTGTAAATAAATCCAAAAGCACTTCCCTTAGTTAAGATATTTACAATTTGAAAACATAACCTAAAATTTAAAAGAAATGCACTAGATTCTGTCATAAAAGTTGGCAGATTTTGTTTGAATTTACCTTCAGTACAAAAATGACATAACCAACAATTAATAAAAACGCCAAATTGACAATTTGCATTGTTAATTTTGTCATTTTTGTAATTAAGCTAAATTTAAACAATGTTTGTCAACTTTTTTGAGAGATTTTGCAAACACTGTTGTTACCAACCATAATATAATAAATCCACCAGATTAACCTAAAGTTCCTAGTCGATCAGTGGCGTACTTTTTGGTAGGATAAAGGTTATTATAAATTATTTTTAGACTTTGGAATTTAGAAAAAAAAAGTTTCAGGTGCTTCTTTATGGACCCTAAGGAACAACCCATTTTAATATATAACATTAATTACATAACACCCTGTATAATAAATTATCTACAATTTTTTTTACATAAACAGTTTAGTAATTCGTGCGTTTCGCGCGCTTGAAATGGCCGTAATCTCAAAAAAATATAAATACAAACATTTGTAGAAGTAGAAGTAATGAAAAATATTGATATGTTTTTACCTGATACACGTGTAAAAACGTGGTATTCTGCCACTGAATAGCTTCTGCAATGGTCTCCAATTGGATGATACATCCTGGCCGGGAAGTGCTTTGTTGCGATACAATATTAATATTTTCGAGCAAACTATCGTGATTCAACGACGACATGTCAGATTCGCTTTCGTCATCTTCGTCGTTTTTTCTGCTTTCTTTAAACGACAAATCGGCCAGCAAAGTGCGGGCATCGATGACGGCTTGGTACACTCTCAGGCACTGGCCATCAGATGCCACAAAGCAGGCGCTTGGAGAGTTTGACAGGTTGCCCAGGGTGCTGGATGGCAGCAAGGTTGGTATCCATGCCACGTTGCTAAACGCCGACGGTTCCGGCGAACTGATGCGAGCCAGTTCGCATATGCCACCCGACTTCGATAGAGGTCCGACTGCGTCGACTTTCCATAAAATCAGTTCGCTACAGAAACCCTAAAAAAGGAACCATTTTGTTTCTGAACAATGACAAGAAGGACATTGCGCAGATAGTATCAGCAATTTCGTATCGAAGTCCCAGTAAAATCAAGTTGGTGTAGATCTTGGTAACATTTGTAAAATTTTTGAAAGTAAATATAATTTATATTCCTGTTTTAATAATTATTGAAAGTATAATTTTTCCCTATATCTCTCTTATTATAAAACTTTTAAAAATAAAATCACATACCATAAACATCCTGTATAAAAAGTAATACAATTTTAAATCGTTATAACTCGAAAAGTACAACTCGACAAATCTAGCTAGAGACTTAAAAGAGATTTACGCATTAGGAAGAAAAGAGATGCATGATACGGTCGATCTCGGCCGCTCAGAGGACTAATAAAGTTTTAAATATCAACATTATTAAAGATATTTAAGAGTAAAAAATAGTAAATTTTCTATTTATTTATATAATTAGAATAGAATTACATGTATTTAAGGTAAACAAGAATTTCTTATAAAGTTAAGGTATGTTTAAAAGAGGTAACATTAATGCAAATAAAAATAGGTTATAACCCTTTTGAAAATTTGTGTTTGGGTTAGGTACGTTTTTATTGATATAAGTATTAACAAATGATGGTAAATTGACAATTATTTTTAAAGAGCCTAGTAGTGAGTAGCCGCTTTTATTGATAATGGATTTTAATAAATCAAAATTAAAGTGTAAAGTTTTGTCAGGTCAGGCTAAAGAAGTGATAGCTAATGTCATTTTCTTTATGCAGCGAGGAGCTGCACAAAACGGCCCTATCCGTGATTTAAAAAAAATGCTGCATTAGCCACTGGTGTTAGCCTAAGTAGCATAAAAAGAATTTCCAAGGATATGAAAGGCGTTTCCACTTCATTTTCGACACCCAACGAAAAAAGGACAAATCTGCGCCAAAAACCATATTGGATGATTTTGATAGAGATGTACTTCGTCGAATCATAATTAATTTCTACTTTACCGAAAAAAAAGTTCCAAGCTTAAAGGGAATTCAAAGAAAATTCCAACAGAATCGTTAAGAAAAATATTGCAAAAAATTGGGTTTCGATAGATAAAAACAAAGAATAATCGAAAAACCAGAAATACAGACTCTGAGCAGAAATTTTTTAGAAAGCATAAAAAAATTTATAGAAGAAAAACGCCCAATAGTTTATATGGATACCCACAGTCAGGATAAAAGCTGGAGTGACAACACCAACAAAGGATTACATAAGCCAGTTTCAAAGGGTCAAATAATGATTATCGTGCATGCACGTGGTGAAATAGGTTTTTATTAAAAATGCATTTTTAAAATTTAATTCTGGAACGAAGTCGGACGATTACTACTCAGAAATGTATTACAATATTTACACAAAGTGGGTAAAAGAAAAACTAATACCCAACTTACCAGCAAATAGCGTACTGGTTATAGACAATGCACCATACCACAACGTTCAGGGGCAGGCTGATAAATGTCTACGGCCAGAAAAGATAAGATAAAGAAATGGCTAAGAGAACGAAATATTCCATTTTCAGAAGATATGTTAAAAGCAGAAGTATATTCTTTAGTAAAAGCTTATAAACCAAAGTATAAAATATACGAAATCGATACCATTATGAGAAATGCAGGTTTCACCGTTTTGAGGCTTCCTCCATATCACCCAGATTTAAATCCTATCGAGTTAGTCTGGGCAGCCTTAAAAAAATATGTTGCTGAGAGAAATGTAAACTTTAACTTTACACAAGTAGATAAATTGTGTGAGGATTTTTTCCACATTCTCCCAGGAAGAATGGCAGAAGCGATGTCAGCACGCTATAAAGTTTGAGAACTATTTTATGGAGAAAGAACCGGCTTTGGATTTAGTCGTGGATGATTTAATTATTAATTTTCAAGGGGACAGTGACAACAAGGTAAACAGCGAAGACAACAGTTCGGACGAATTTGATCCGTTGTAGAAAAAAAAATAATTTTATTTAATAATGCAAATGACGATTTTAAGAGCCGGCATCTACGCATCGATGGGCGTGTACATTCCACGTCTCTTGGTATATTTGCCAAGCTGTACACGCCAGAATAATAACTCTCCACACAAAATATAGATAACTTTTTAAAAACTTACCGTACGACTTTGACTTTTGTTCTGATCGCAAATATTATGATGACTGGTAGTGAGCAGAAGTGGCAACACCGGATGGCAGGTGATATCGTTCACTCTGAATCTATGACCGGACGCCCGGCTCTTGTGACCAATACTCAAAACCTGACTAAACTTGCTTTTGTCCGCGAAAGTCACCTGCCACAAGTTTAAAGTGCCGTTGTCGTGTTTCGTGACCAACGACACGACAGGCGAGGCTTCGTTTTGTTCTTCCGCAGGAGGCGATTCCTGATCGTTCGTTTTGGTTTCGTCCTCCTCTTTGACGCTGGCCAGGTTGCAGTTGTCCTTGCTTCCTAGGTCGCGGTTAATAAAGTCTTTCACCAAGTGTTTCATTAACGGCATGGTACTGTATAGACTGACGGTTGTAGACATGCTCATCGAATCGCCTAAGGGGAAGGCCGAAGGGATTCTGGTTGAAAATGACACTTGAGCCTGTCTGAAGGAACCAGGGTGATATTCATCCAACCACTCAACGACCCTAAATCGAAGAAAACATATGTATATTATAAAGTTGTTTGTGTACTTCCTAAAATCGGGTTTGAAAAAATTATAACAAAAAACTATAAATCTTATTGCAGGGTTCATACTATTGAATTCGTATAAAATTCCCTGACTTTTCCAGGTTTTCCAGAACTTTTTCAAGCTTTTTCCATAGACTGTGGAAGGTGTCAAAAATTGATATTGATATTCAGGCAAATGAGAAAAAACTAAAAAATAGAATTTATACTTTGCAGCTTTAATAACAGACCATAATACATATAGCATAATTCATATTATATGTGACCTGGACTATAGAAAGGTACCTATGGTCGGAAGAATCAATTTTTGTTTTTTAATCGAAATTTATAAGAAATTTAACGTTTTTTTTAATGGAACATACCGCAGACTCCTAAGTTTGAAACTTTTGCTGGAAATCATCCTTAAAGTTCAACATGAATTATAAAAATCGCGAAAAAAGTTATAAATAGATCAAGAATTGTTTTTGTTTTATCTTTTATTTTTGTCAATATCCTGAAGAGACATATCGAAAGACGAATCTGGTACAACGTCATCTTCTATGTCACTAACACCTGCACCTCCACCTTGATCTTCGTAATCTTTATCACAATCCGCAAAACATTGTTTCTCCACTGCTTTAAATTCTTTTTCTAAATCCATTATGCACTTTCACAAACTAAAACAACTTTAAATTAGCTGCATAACAACGAAAAACCACGATCTCGAAAATACAATGATAAGAAAAGCAGCACGTATTATTCAAACTTTTTCAACGTTCACAAAATTAGCTATTTAGGGGAACTCACTTGAATAAGGTACAAAAATATTTATTGTAAAAGCTCAACTGTATAATGGAAGTCTAAAGACAGGTGGAGAGCCAAGGGTAAGGCAAAAAAAGAAAAGGTAGAAGCGCAAATACAAACGCGACGCACGGACAGTACTTGTTATCTTTAACAGCTGTTTTCTCGAAAACTTGATTTATAACCATAGGTAGCTTTCCGTAGTCCAGGTCACATATGTAATTCAAAAACAAAACTTTTTTAGATCTTTTAAAATTTAACTTAATAGTTATAAAAAAAACATAGAGCATATTTCTCGTACATAAAAACAAAACAAAATACAAAAATAAGTCAAATAACTATTTAAAACTTTTTCTCTCAATATTTGTAGACGTCTATTGATACTGTCCACTTCATGGTTGGTTCCTTCAGTTAATTTTTGTTTTTTGTTTTCCAGAACCTTAATTTCCGTTATTAAACAATTTTTCACAATTACGAGAAAGACTTCAGTAAAATCTGTTCATACAAATAATATTATCCCAATGTTTCAAACGTTGCAAATACTTTATGAACTGTGAAAAAAAATCTTCAAAAATAGACCTAAAATTTGTTAAAATTCGAAAATTTCGCGTGAAATAGCATTCATTTTGTATACCCAAAAAAATAACTCCTGGAACGCCATGAAATATACCCTCTAGACCAGTCAAATCGCAGTCGTCTGCGACTGTTTGACAAAAATGGCAAAGTTTAATCCAAATGAGGATGAAATTTTGGTCGAAGAAATTCAAAAATATCCCTCAATTTTTGACTATGAAGATGAAGCCTATAAGAATATTTTAATTAAAGAGAATGGGTGGCATTTTCTGTGGGAAAAAATAGTATATAGTTTTAAATTTGTCGCCATAAAAACCACATAAAATATAAATATATAAATTTGAATTTGAGATTCATATAAAACTAAGCCAAATCGCATAAAACTAGACGCATCAATGAAAACACTCAATATTGCGGCTGCGACTGCGACCTTAGCCGCGCCACTGCTTAGTACAATTTGTGTGTATATGTTTTGGTTGGCGCGTTCAGTCGCAGACGATTACGATCGAGCCGCAGCCGTTGCGACCTGACTGCTACAATGTAGCAGCTACATAGACCAGTCAAAGCCGCCAGGCTTCAAAAGATTCTCTTAAAGGATCCGGGACGAGAGCTGGGGACATTAAGGCTTTCCTCCTGACTATAGCACCACCGCGGAGGAGGCACTTAAATGGCTCCTGGAAACTCACTTTCCAGGCTCAAAAATCCTGCAAACTGTTGAACCACCATGGCGGGCTCCACCAGCGGGCGTAAGGCCGACTGACTGGAAGTTAGCTGCAAAGGTAGTGACAGAAAGCTCCATAAAGTGGGCCATCCACTCATTTGGATCTTTTAAAAGCGCAGGACCAGATGGCATATTTCCGGCTCTCTTACAAAAGGGACTAGAACCACTGACACCGCACTTGATACTCCTCTTCAGAGCCTGCCTGGCACGGGGTTACGTGCCACAATCCTGGGGAAAGGTTCGAGTGGTGTTTATCCCCAAGCCAGGACGTTGTAACTACGAGACGGCAAAGGACTATAGACCCATCAGTCTATCCTCGTTTCTTTTAAAAACTATGGAGAAACTGGTGGACATATTTATTAGGGACGGGGCACTAAAAAGAATTCCTATGCATCCCAATCAACACGCCTACAGGACAGCCATGTCGACGGAGACCGCTCTTCACAGCCTTGTGACAAGACTAGAGAGATGGCTCTGGGCACGTTTCTAGATATTGAAGGAGCTTTCAACAACACCTCCTTCGAGTCGATAAATAGAGCTGCAGAAGGCTTTGGCATAGAGAATACCATTGTCAAATGGATCCGTGTCATGCTGGAAAGCAGGATCATTACAAGCTCGATTGGAACTACGGAGATCAGCTCAACTTCAACCGTAACCAGAGGCTGCCCGCAAGGAGGAGTACTATCGCCCTTGCTGTGGTGCCTAGTGCTGGATGGGCTACTTCGTATCCTAAACAAGGAAGGTATATACACTCAAGGCTACGCGGACGACCTCGTCATCGTCGTAGCCGGAAGGGTACCAAACACTATTAAAGAGATCATGCAAAGAGCTCTTAATAAGGTCGAAAGGTGGTGCAACGATCACGGACTATCCGTCAATCCGGATAAGACAGAAGTAGTACCATTCACCAACCGAAGAAACATGAACCTCACGCTCACGCTCTTTGGATCAAGATCCAAATCAGGAAAATGTCAACAGAGTCGTCCAGAGTGCCACTCATAGCCTATGGGCATGCAGAAGGACCATTGGACGCACCTGGGGCTTTCCACCCCACATAGTGCACTGGCTTTACACAACAGTCATAAGGCCAATGATCACATACGGCAGCCTTGTTTGGTGGAATGCGTTAAGCAAGCCCACCTACAGGAAGAAGATGGACAAGCTCCAACGATTTGCCTGCATGGGCATAATTGGAGCTTTTAGAACCACTCCAACATTGGCAATGGAGGCCATACTGGGACTGGCGCCTCTACATCTCTTTGTGGAGGCACGGGCTTGGGAGGCCTCGGTCAGACTCAACGATTGGGGACAGTGGACTCACGGGGGGGGGGGAAACTCAGGGCATGCAAGGGCCTGGACTGAGACTATCAACCGGGAACCCCTTCTCACAAGAAGGGATGCAATGCCAAAGACGTCTACCCCCCTCAGGAGATATAAAGTGGTTTTCCCTTCCAGAAACGACTGGAGCGAGCCTGACCCAGGCTTTCTCAAACCGGAAGGGCTCATCTGGTACACAGACGGGTCTTTAATGAAGGAAGGTGCAGGAGCTGGTGTATAGGGAGAGCGACCTGGGGCTAGAATAATTCTTGCACTAGGTTGATACCCAACAGTATACCAAACTGAAATCTTTGCCATCCAGATATGCGCCCAAGAGAATCTCCAGAGAGGCTACTCGGGTAATCATATCTACGTATGCGGCGACAGTCAAGCAGCACTCCGGGCTCTTCACTCGGAAAGGGTCAACTCGAGACTTACACTGGACTGCATAAAAACCCTCAAACTACTCAGTGTGCTCAACAAGGTTAACCTTATCTGGGTACCGGGTCATCGAGGCATCAGAGGCAACGAGGAAGCAGACCAGCTGGCTCGTGAGGGCAGCAACAAGGCCTTCTTGGGGCCAGAACCTATCATAGGGGTCGCCTCCTGCCTGGTAAAAACCAAGATCAGGAACTGGACTAACGACCAGTTCCAGAACAAATGGCATGAACAACAAGGCCTCAGGCAGTCAAGGGTCTTTATAAAGAGTCCTACTACCTGCAAAGAGGCAAAAAGATTCCTGAAACTTAACAGGAACCAGGAGTCCTAACAGGACACTGGGTAGTCAAATACTAACTACACAAAACCGGACTCAGCAACGAGTCGGACTGTAGGTACTGCAGCGAAGTAGACAAAACTACCGAGCATATAGTCTGCGAATGCGACGCTCTAGTCAATAGTAGACTAAGACACCTAGGGGACAGATACTTCGAACCAGAGGAAATAATGCATGCCCGACCAGAGCGGGTCTGCGCTTTTCTTAAAAGCTGCGGGCTCGTAAGGTAAGGCAGTGCTTCACCAAAAGGGGGTTTGCACAATGGGCCGTATGTGTGCCTAAGTGCTGCCTGCAAAGGCTCCCCTTCAAATCAATCAATTATAGCAATTTACTATTTTGAGTTGAAAAATCCTTATTTTTAATTAATCATTAGTTTTACATTGTTATGGCAAAAAACACTAATCTAGTTCGGTGAGGAAAAACAAATTATTATGTTTAATTTTATATCTTATTATACTTGTGCACATAAAATATGAATTTATTTTATCTTAACTAGACACACAGAAAAGTCTTGCGGTGCTCTTGCCTTGCATGAAATTTCATGTAAAGTGAATGGGAAATAATACTTACCATATTAGAAAGCTTCCATCCACGGGATGAATGCTGAAAAGCAAATCCGGACTATGATGCCAATCTCTAAGAAAACTCTCAATTCTTGCATCAACTCCATCAGTACTATTAGAAGACTCCATTAAAGGTTCTTCGGCGGAATCTTCCGATTCGGGATTATCAATAACAGGTCTAAAAAATATCTTTAAAACCACCAAACTACTTTTATTTTTTGACATACTTAGCGAATTCTTCTAAAAATAGTTCGGCTTGCAAGTTAAACTGCATTTCTTTATTGTCCAGCCAATGTAGCACAAAAGCAGGTTTGGGATTGCAATAGCTGATGCTTGGTACCAAAGGTATGTCAGTTTCAGCATTTACAGACGCTGCTAAATGAAAGTGCAACCCTGGTGTTACACCTGAAATAAATACATTTTATTATTTATTTTATAAACAGCTTTATAAAGCAAAATACCTGTTCCATGATATCCATAAGAATGAAAATCATGAACACTATAAGTCGACGGTAGAGTGGGAATCGGCGGCGAAGGTCCCTGGAAACCTTGTGCCTGGTTTTTTGCGTGCCTTCTTATATGAAAACAAGTTCTACAAAAAAATAAATATTAATGAACGAATAAAAAAATCAGTAAATTTTATTACTTCATGTGTTTAAGCCTTTGCATAAATCTATGCTTGTGTCTGTGAGTCCTAAATTTTGGATGATGGGCCTGCGGATCTAGCTGGGACAAATTTACTAAACCATCTTCCGGTAAAACCGTTTCTACCCATAATCGACAAATGTTGTCTTTACAAGAAGTAACGAGCATGTTGGAAACTGACCCCCTGATAAAATATTATTAATATACTCGTATACATAATAGTATATTTTAATAATACATTTATACTTATAAAAGAAATAAAATATATTTACTTTGGCATGTATTTACTGGTGGTTCTCCAAGACAAATGGGTAACTGCTCTAGGATGCGCAATATACACGAAACCATACTCCAGATCAACTGCGCCCTCGGTGCTTTTTGAAGTAAATATGACTAAAAAATAATTTTTTTTGGTAAAATTAAACATGTTTAGGTTAAATTTAAAAACTTACAGTGTTTGTTTTCATACCAGATTTTAACCAATCTATCGTTTTCTCCGCATGTGGCAAAAAGTGTTCCGTCAGGGCTGAATGCCAAATGTTGAACAGGAATTGCAGTGTTTGCCTTCCAAACGCATTGCCAAAGAGTTTGCTCTTGTTCTAAAATTGAAAATATTTATGTAAATTGTCTGTTGAAAAAGTTTTGGTAATAAAAACTAAATCAATTAAAAAATATATTTTTTTTTTGTCTTACTACAATAAAATTGATAATAAGACGTTTTTAGAAACAAATTAAACGAACTTCTATATTAGAAAAAACATTGTTCTTAAGGAAGGCACAAAAAAAATTGTATAAATATAATTATATAAGGTAAAAAATATTTAAAGATCAGGTTATTTGACATAAATGAAGGCACTGGGTGTATATTATTTACTTTTTATTATATTTCTTGTAAAATATGCCATAATTTATAAAAGCGTACTGGGGTCACAAAATTATTAAAAGTACATTGAAAAAAAATTCAATAAATAAAGTCAATATACACTTCGCGTCAAATTTAACGCACCACTAAAAATTTTCCACAATTTCAAAGTTGATTTTCTCGCGAATCGTCAAACCGAATTTCGTGATTTTTTTATTAAATTGTAGGTTAAGTCTTCGTTAATAATACGTTTATTGAAATATTTTTTTAAATTTACATTTTGAGTATATACAGGGTGCATGAGTGATAATAAGTTTTTTCCGGAAATTTTAAACGCCCTGTAGGTTGTACCAGCTTTAACAGCCTATGACTCATATAATTAAACTATATTTTCTTATAATTTTGTTTTTTGATTCACGTCGCTATCTATTTTTTTAAATGAGATATACGGTTAAAGACGAAATAACTCCAGTTTAATGTAAAATGAAAGAACCTAACATAGGTAGGTCATGGTAGGTCATTTTCATTTAAGTTGTCTGCATAAATGGAGCGCCAAGTGAGAAATTTGAATCGTGATGAATGTGTAAGAATTAGCAATGCATGCTTTAAGAAAACGATTTGTAACAGCAAGAAATCTACATGTACAGTTGTATTCATTAAAAAAGCGTACAAGAATTATAATGAGAGAAAACTGTCAACATTATTGCGTAAAACCGGCTTTCCACTGACTTAAGTCACTATAACTGACAGTAGAAAATAAAAATGCCTCGTCAGTTAAAAAGGCTCAAATAGTATCAAGAATCGAAGAAGAATGGTCAATTAGTGCCGTGGTATAATAGAAATACAAAATCTATATTAAAAATTAATAATTTTTGTAATATTATTTAATTAACCTACGACGTCAATGCTCTTTATAACCTATAGTAATTATTTTAATGACTTATGTCAGTGATAAGCCGGTTTTAAGCAATAATATTATTTTGACAGTTTTCTCTCATTCTAATTCTTGTACGCTTTTTTATTGAATACAACTGTACAACTTAATGCTCATAATTTTCAAATAAGTGTGTCCACCGTAAGAAGACGTCTTGCGGAACAGAATTTGAGCTTCAGAATTCCAGGAAAAGGACCGAAGTTAAATGCAAATCATCGTAGAGCAGTGGGTGTTGAAACTTTAGACTGGCCTGCAAATAGTCCGATTGAGCATTTTTGGGATAATATGAGTAGACGACTAAGAAATCATGATCCCTTGCCTGCCTCCCTTGATGACGTAGCAAATATGCTACGAGAAATATGGAATGTCCCAACTGTGGAGAAAGGCAGTAACTGCTAAACAAGAAATTTGAGGGAAATTAGCATAAACTACATTTTTATAAAAAGCAGTAGGTATTTAATTGATTTATTATTGATTTATTTTAGATAGTTTACTGCATTTCTTTGTTGAATTAAGATACAAAATGTCCATAGATTTATCATAGCACAAGAAAAAGCATTTAGAATTTTTTTGTAGTTGCTGCCTTTCTTCATAGTAGGGCAGTATGAGCCGTCGATATGAAGCCGTAATTAGAAGTAGAGGCGAAAATACGCGATATTGATATTCTTTAATGTTGGTTTTATTGATTTTGTTCATATTTTTATTGTTATTGTTACAATCGTTCTTTTATTAAACTGGAGTTCTTTAATATTTAACTGTATATTTCTTTTAAAAATAAAGATAACGCGGTAAATTAAAAAAACAAAATGTTAAGAGAAGATTGGGCTATAGTTTGATTGTAAGAGACATATGCTGTTATTGCTGGTACAACCCACAGGGCGTTTCAAATTTACAGGAAAAAACTTATTATTACTCTTGCACCCTGTATATACTCAAAACGCAAATTTGAAAAAATTGAAAATTTAATAAAGGCGTCATAACCAAAGAATAAACCTACAATTTAAAACAAAAACTACCAAACTGGGTTCGCGAGAAAATCAACTTTAAAATTTTGGCAAATTGTTAGTGGTGCGTTAAATTTGACGCGAACTGTTATAAAAAACAAAACATTGAAAAAAGATTAAAAATATTGAAAAAAACATTAATATATTGAAAAAACATTAATATATTGGAAATAAACTGCACCAAAACAGGAAATCAGCGCCGTCAGTTAAGAAAAAAGAAAACCAAATTTTCAATATATTGAAAACATTAATTTTATTATAATTTTGTGACCCCAGTACGCTTTTGTAATAATGTATTATACACAAATATTAAAATTTGTTTTAAACATATACAGTCAAGATAATTTTACTAGTAATATTTTTTCTACTTCTATTGACATTATTTAAGTTTTTGTATACGAAAAACGGTAACTATTATAATTGCCTAGACTAACAATGGGAATAGTGAACTCATTAATACGTTATAGGGCATCAGTGATTGGCCGATTTTAATAGTCACTGTGATTTAAACCAATAAGTATAAGTAAAAAATGTGAATTAATTAGGGCGCCAAATGCGGTCTATGCAGAAGGGCAGGGGGGCCGCCGCCCCCCTGGCCCCCTATACGGCACGCTACTGCCCGTGCTTACTAACAAAACTCAATTTTCTTGTAAAAAATACTTGTGGAATTCACGAGTAATATATAAGAGTATTTCCGTTTAATAAATAGATTTTTTTCCAGAATTTCGCAAGCCTAGAAAAAAAATAATAGAAAATAATTCATAGTATAATATAATTATAGCATATAGGTTTTATAACAAGTAAATAGGTAAAATTATAAACTATTTACTTGTTATACAACCTATAGGCTTTACGAGTATATAGTTTAAACATACTTCAAAACAAGAAATGTTTTTAATTATCGAAACTTGAGTTATGGTTTTTGCGATACTTTGGAAGAAAGTCATATAATGTATCGCCCAATTTCTCAGAGTCAAATTAACAAACTACTAAGTTTGAATAAAAATTACAAAAAATGCCCTGCTCAATCGAACCTCAAGTGGTATTTGTTGAGAAAATTCCACGAGTAAATAAATTAAGTCATTTTTGTGTCACTTTGGCATTTCTCGAGATATCTATACAATATGTATGTATATATATATATATATATATATATATATATATATATATTAGGGTGGTCCTTATTTAGGGTGTGTTCGAATTTTTCTTCACGATAGTCCTAAATAGGTTCCAAATATGTAAAAAAAATAATGTGCCAAATTGCAGCTCTTAATTTTAAAATTAAGCCGGCCCCCCCGACAGCCAAAGTTTTAAATGGAAATAACATGGGATAAGTTCTGTTATTACTTTGGATTTTTTAAAGTCATGAACTAATAAATGGATTATATAGAAGGATAAACATTCTTGTATTAAATTTAACGCTCTCCAAAAAAGGTTTCTTGTGATTTTTTGCTAACCCTACTGGTTCAAAAGTTATTCGAGGTCAAAATGGAAGTTCTAGTCAATTCTATGTTTTTTTCAATTTTCAACGTGGTTTAATGATTCAAAAATGTAAAAAGGGTTATAATTTATATTTTAGATGGTTCTATTTTTTAGAAAACTTTCAGTGTAATCGTGACCCTAAAAAGTTAGTAACACCAATTGTTTTTTTATTTTTGCACTGTCGTAACTTTTAAGGATTTTTTAAATTTTGGGATACGCAAGATATTTTGGACATAGGTATTGTTAAAAGATTTTGATTTTAATTAGTAAAAATTTTGATAAACTCTAGTTTTAAATTCAAACTTCTTAATAAAAACATTGCTGTGGCTCCCGTCCCGAGGCGGGACTTAAGTTTAGTCCCGAGTGACGTCATAATTTTAAGATTTGTTATGTTACGATAAAACTAAAACAAACCAACCAACCCAACCCAACATTTTTTAACAAAGGAACAACAAATTTATAAAATAAAAAAAGTTCGACAACTTCTAGTAGTATCAAACCCGGTACCTCTAGCATGCCAAGCGACCCCCTTACCATCTGGTATTTTTTTTAATCCATTGAAATTTTAATAATATTTAATAAATAAATATTTTTCTTTTTAGAGCAAACGTCAAGATAAGAAAAGTCATCTAGAATATAAATTATAACCCTTTTTACATTTTTGAATCATCAAACCACAATAAAAATGGAAAACCATGGAATTGACTAGAACTTTGATTTTGACCTCAAATAACTTTTGAACCAGTCAAGTTAGGAAAAAATCACAAGAAACCTTTTTTGTAGAGCGTTAAATTTGTTACAAGAATATTTATCCTTCTATATAATCCGTTCATTAGTTCATGACTTAAAAAAATCCAAAGTAATAACAGAACTTTTCCCATGTTATTTCCATTTAAAACTTTGGATGTCGGGGGGGGGCGGCTTAATTTTAAAATTAAGAGCTGCAATTTGGCACATTATTTTTTTTATATATTTGGAACCTATTTAGGACTATCGTGAAGAAAAATTCGAACACACCCTAAATAAGGACCACCCTAATATATATATATATATATATATATATATATACAGTGCTTGCAAATCCAAGTCCGACCGCGTTGGGAAGGATGGTTGTTCAATACCCGCGTGAAAAGAATAAAGATAGAATGCCAAACAGAATTTGATTGGTCAGAGCGTCAGGCGTGCGTATTGTAAGCGCCTTCTGTTTGGCGTTCTATCCTTGTTATTTTTACGCGTCCTTTCTAAACCGGTCGGACTTGGATTTGCAAGCACTGTATATATATACAGTGCTTGCAAATCCAAGTCCGACCGCACTGGAAAGGACGGCTGTTCAATACCCGCGTGAAAAGAACAAGGATAGAACGCCAAATAGAATTTGATTGGCCAGAGCCGGCAGGCTACGACAACGCATACCCATAGCGCACCTCGCAGCGTGCTTGCCTCGAGGATATCAGAACGAGAACTGCAGTGGTGCCAGCAAGAGGTAGTAATTTTAGTAAAAAAGATTATTTAATTAAAAAATGTACACGTTGGAACAAAAAGTTCAGATTTTAATCTGGCACTTTGCTGGTAATTCTGAACGAAAAATTCAAAGATTATTTGCGGGAATGTTCGAGGCCAGACCAAACAGAGAAACAATTCGACGAAAGTTAATAATTTTCTCACGCACGGTTGTGTAGTTCCGATGCAGTTCCGACGGGAATTTTTATAATAGGTTATGCTATTGTTTGGCTGCCTATGGGGGCTTGTTCGAACATTTAATTTAATTTTTGAGTTTATTTATTTTTATTATTTATTTTTAGAGTTTTATTTTTATTTAGAGTTTTATTTTTATTTATAGTTATTTTTATTCAGAATTATTTTTTATTTGAGAAATCTTTTTTATTAAGAATACTATTTTTGTTGTTGCCCTAGTTCTCAAGGAAAAAAATCAAACAATTTTATTTTTAGGATTCGGGTATAAAATATTTAAAAAGAAAATTAAAATGTGCTTCTTCACTCTAACGCAGTTTGCTTAACACTAAATCTCTGACTAAATCATTTAGTCTAAATGCAGCCAGACTGAGAGTTGACCTCGCTTACAATTCGCACGCATCCGGGGCTCTGGCCAATCAAATTCTATTTGGCGTTCTATCCTTGTTCTTTTCACGCGGGTATTGAACAGCCGTCCTTTCCAGTGCGGTCGGACTTGGATTTGCAAGCACTGTATATATATATTGTATATTATGTTACTATAAAAAAGGTAAATAGAAAAATATTCGGCAATTTTGGTCACTTGCATTTCTGTTTTTTAGTTTTAATCCGTCAGCAAACCGTATTTTTTACAGTTTTGAATAGGTTTACATAAATTGGCAGGAGTGGAATTGTCAACTATCTAAACTAATTTTTTTTTACTCGTGTGTTCACGATTACTACTCGTAACCGTAACCTCTCTTTACAAATGTACGAGTAAATATGAACTCGTACTTAAAATTTTACGAATACATCTTTTAGTAATTTTGCCCAGCTCTGGTTGGAACAGATGTCAAGTTTTTGATATATACGAGGGGCAACTATAATGATCTTTAAAATCGAGAGAAAGTGAGGTTATAATAAGTTTTGTATTTAATAAAAATTACCTAATTGGAGCAGAACGTCTTTCGCCTCGAGACGCAAACCTCATAATAGCCTGCATTATCTCTCGTATAATAATATAATATGACATGTTTTTATTAAAATATTATCCATTATAATATGTGTTTTTTAACAATTTTAAAAGAATAAAGTTAACTATTTATATTTTATATTATTTTTAAAAACATTCTTAACATTCCTTGAAGTAAAAAAATTTTGTACAGTTAATTTAACAATAATAATTAATATACAAGTTTAAAAAGGTATGCATCACCTAAAATATTCGACTGGTTTAGTTTAGTCTTTTCGTATAAAAGAAGCGACATAAACTTAAGTGAATAGAACATTTTGTAAAGAATGTGTTGCTGTATAAGGTAAATCAGTCAGTTACATAAAACAAAATATCTACATAGGTTGCAGGAAGATAAACTTTGCAAATATTTACAATATTTCTACTTAAATAATATAAAATGTTTAACACAAAAATAAAATACCTATTGCAAAATTTTACTTTTAAAATTATGAATTATACAGACCTTGTGGTTTGTCTTGTTCTTCGTTTCCCTCTGTGTGTTCTCCGCCCAAAGTGAACGTAACAGAGGGTTCATCGTCTTCGGCGAAAGTTTTAAGGTGCCAGAGCTGAACGTGCGCGCCCGCCGTCAGTAGACGGGTGCCTTCTAAGTTCCAGCTAAGGGCGCGAATCGGCGAGTCGGTTTTAAAAGTGCCCGTTTGCACCCATCTGTAGTCCAAGCCCTAAATTTATAAAAATGGCTACTTAACGATATTTAATAAAAATATATGTTTTCATTTTAAATATTTCAGTTAAAAAATAAAAAAGCCTTTTTCTTTTTCTTAAATTCAAAAAGTCTACAATACTAAAAATGTATTGCAAAAATTGCCTTTTCGTTGCTGTTGCGTATTTTTCATATAAATTTTATATTTGGTTATTAATACCAAATTAATTTTTAAATTTGGTGTAAATTAACAATTTTTTAATTAGTTAAATTTTTTAACCATTCCAAAAGTATAGGATTTAAAGCAATATAATTAACTAATATAAAAAACAATGTTTTCTTTAACAAGCAGTATACAAGAAAAGTTTCAATATTTATTAGACTGTTTTCTATTTCCTGTACATTTTGATACAAATGTAAATACCTGTATTTTAAGAGACTGAGAGTTAGAAGTTTTATTCACTTTGGCTATTTCATTTGCAGTGAAATGTAAAACATTTTTAAGAACTAATACTTAATACATACATATATATGCCTATGATAATAATAATAATCAGTTTACTAAAAACAAAACAATAATGAAAGTGATTGAAGTTGTTGGTTATTATATATGAGGAATTTGAAGATTATTTTAGTTATTTGGGATTTATGCCATGGAAAACAGAATATTAAAGCAGATTTTTTTAAACAAAAAGACATTATGAAAACAGCATGATTAGAATTAACATAATTTTCTATAATATAGAAAGGTATACACCATTTTGATTCAAGAAAGCACTTTTTATTTGCCATTGTATAATAAATAAAAAAACATGTCCAATCAAATCAAGTTAATTATGGGTCCATCCATGTCAAATCCAAATAATTATTTTTTCTTTTTTTAGCTGTTTGTACTTTACTCTGGGAGATGAAAACAGGCTATAATTAATTTGTTATTGATGCGTTAGCCTATTTGGTTTGCTTCTTGGTTTTTAAAGATATTCATTTAGTTCAAACAAAAACCACGTTAAAGAGCATTTTTTGAAATGTACAAAATATCTTTTTACAATAAATAATGAAAGCACACTTAGTAGTCAGTAAAATCAAATTAAAATCATCAAAAAAATTGTAATAGAAAAAAACTAAGATATGCAAAAAGGGGTATGTAAATGACACCATTTCAGATTTACGATTTGTATAGTGGGTCTTAAAATTGAAAGTAAATAAAAAAATTGTTTGTTTCTTTAGTAAATTTAATTGTCTACAAAAAAATAGCCTTTTCAATAATCGCATAAATTAAATTTAGTAACAAAATTTTAGTAAAAATAATTTGTACTTCCTAAAAACTATTTTATTTTTACTTTTAGTTTAAAATGAAATTTAGAATCTAAGATGTTGACCGATTTTTTTTCCTTTCGTTTATAATATATTTTAAAGATTAATATTTTTGCTATTACAAAATTAATTTCGAAAAAAGCGGAAATTCGACCCACTCTATTAAACATCTCGAAAGTAAAAAATCCAAAAAATTAAAAAGGGCGGTTTTCTGCATTTGATACCTATAAGATTATCCTTATTTTTTTTATTAAAATCCAAACTATGTAGCACACCGATTGGACTTTTTCTCGTTTTAAAAAAAATACCCAATTTTAGATGCAACTCTAAGGCCCAAAACTTTTTAGGGAAGTAGTATACTATAAAGGCTATATATTTTGTTCCTTAAAACTCCCAGAAGCCAACTGAACGTGGTCTGACCCATAAATACAAAATGAATCAATGAATACCGTTTAACTCTCTGAGTATAGTACAATCAAAATAATTAAAAAAAAATCTATTTTTTAAATTAAATTGGTTGATTTGATATGGATTATTTGTTAATTTTGGTTTAAATGATTAGTTTTCACAAAACTACAAATAAATGTACACACAATTTCTACCTTTTTTGACAAATCAACAACTTTATAATCTTGTACTTCTCCAGAGTAGGAAAACCGAACTTTCCCACAACACTACAATTTGGAATAGGATAAATAAAAACATGCTATTTTATAAAATATAATAATTTAGAACAATGTGCACATTATGTGCATTATAATAAATTATGTGTGCATTATACAGGGTGTCCCAGAATATGTGGGCAATCTCCCGGATTCAAATAGAACAAACAAAAATAATATGACAAGTTCCTATATATTCTTTTTCCAACGGCCCCCCTACGGATATACGGGCCCATAACGGACGCCCCTGGAAATAGTTTGTTTAACTTTTAAAGTACTAGGTGGAACTTAATAATTTTTTAATATGTTGGATACTAGGGAAGTTTCCTTAAAATGGGCACTTTAAATCACATTCGGCTTATTTAGTTTGCCAGGGACGGACTAGCTTTAACAAAAAAGGCACAACAATATTTTTGGTCAGCTTAAACCTTAACCTAAAAAAAGGAACACTTGATTGACATCGATAAAATGAACTGTTTACGAAAAAAAATGTTTTTGTAGAATACGGTTTTTAATAAATAATTTTGTATGTCGCGACATGTCGGTTCAACATGAGCTCCTTCTACTCTTATGCATTCCCTAGCTCTAAGAATTGAAGATTGTTGGACCCTTCACAATGCCTGAACATTAATCCTTATTCGCGACAATAAAATTTTAGTCTAGTAGTTCGAGAACACCTAAACAGGAACTAGGAAGCGGAGGACCAGTGGCTTACAGTGGCGTATTTAGGGGGGGGTCCGCCGGGTCCGGACCCCCCCCGGGCGCACATATTTTATTATTTTTATTACAAAAAAAAGTTTAAAAAAAAATAAAAACCTCAAGGCTGTCAACGTACTTTATTATTTATTAATTATATTTAAATATAAAATCATTAAAATCAACTACTTACGTATTAAAGAGAAAGAGGTGGTTTGGCAACCCTGTAGGTATATCGTTCCTACCTCTTTCTCGTGTCTTTATCTGTGGTCGTTATGATCGAGGCGCGAACATAAATAGAACTATACCATGAATAGATAGCGCGTGCGTGAAAAAGAGTTGCGTCTCTTTTCTTATTATAATAAAGAAAAAGATGCCGCTTTTTTTCACGCACGCGCTATCCATTCATTATTAAAGCATAGCATAGTACATATTTAGTTAGTTTTTTTGGACCCCCCCCGGAGCTAAATCCTAAATACGCCACTGGGCCTCCTCGATCACCTGACCTAAATCCATTAATTTTTTCTTGTGGGGCTATTTAAAAACTCTAGTCTATGCCAATCCAATAAACAATCGAGAAAACCTATTGGAAATGATTAATTTTTGTTGTTGGAGGGTCCAACAATCTTCAATTTTTAGAGCTAGGGAATGCATAAGAGTAGAAGGAGCTCATGTTGAATCGATATACAAAATTATTTAATAAAAACCCTATTGTACAAAAACATTTTTTTCCGTAAACAGTTCATTTTATCGATGTCGAAGAGTACCTTTTTTTAGGTTAAGGTTTAAGCTGACCAAAAATATTATCGTTGTGCCTTTATCGTACAGGGTGGTAAAAAAAATAGCATTACCCTGTTAGAGCTAATCCGTCCCTGGCAAAACTAAATAAGCCGAATGTGATTTAAAGTGCCCATTTTAAGGAAACTTCCCTAGTAACCAAAATATTAAAAAATTATTAAATTCTACCTAGTACTTTAATAGTATATTAGATATCAAGTTTGATAAACGCCATTTTATACACGAGTGCTTAAATTAATGAGTGTATAGAAAAGTTTATAAACGGGGTGCATACTATACTTTTTCTACGACAAATACTTATTATCTTAAAATGACTTAAATCAAATATTTGTATAGAGCGCCATCACCATCACCATCAAATGTCAAATTTTTATATTTTACAAACACAGATTGTAAAGGTTATATATAAATCGAAATGTATTCCTTGAAAATGGTTTTTCCCAGAGAAAATAAAGAAAATGTATTATGAGCACTTTACAGTGGGGTCCGTGCCCGAATTTAAGTTATAGTTTACTACCGGCGAATTTAAACGTCAGTACAATGTTCAAATAAACTTTTCAAATATTGGCGTTGAGAAACTATTTAATACTTTTGTATTGAGATAATAAAATAATTTTCACATTTAGTATTATTTTACAAGAAAGGCACTTTATTTTAACGATTGTATGACATTTGACAACTGTCAACTAAGTTAAAACTAACTTCAGCCCGTGACTAAAACGCCATAAAGCCACAACTTGTCAATGTGTATTTAAAAGGCCACTTAGTGTCATGGAAACATGTACGATAATGGGCGTTTTAAAAGTGGGAGTAGAAACAAGTTATTTAAAAACAAACGATTTCCAGGGGCGTCCGTTATGGGCCCGTATCTCCGTAGGGGGGGCCTTTGGAAACAAAATTTATAGGAACTTGTCATATTATTTTTGTTTGTTCTATTTAAATCCGGGAGATTGCCCACATATTCTGGGACACAGTGTATGTGTGTACATGTGTGCATTATAATACATGATGTGTAAGATGTTTAATTTATATATATTTTCGTATATTTATTATAATTATATATTAATAAATGTTGCACCATGAACCCTGTGTGCAAACAGATTTATGTTAGTCAAAGTAAATATTATAAAAAGATCTCTGATGAATTTGTTTACAGAAATTTATTAGGTTTTAAAAATGTCCGGAAATATAAATAATTAATTATTGTCATTAGTTATTGGTGATAACATTTTTTACACATTTTGCACAATATTTTTAATGGGGTGAGTTATTTAAACGTTAATAGACCACGACCATATCAGATTTTGATTATGTTTTGGAATATGGTTTTATTAAGATTAGTAAACTATTTGGAAAAATGGTACAAAAATGTATGGAATAAAATTGTATGGCACGCCGTTTTATTTTTTAATCGTATAGGGTCAATTCGTTGTATTGAAATGTTGATTCCGCGATATTTTACTTAAAAAGTCTATAAAATTCGCTGCTAATTATTAACTATTCTATGTAAGGATAAATAAGGATTCAAAAATCCTAGTGCAACATTATT